GGGCTAAAAAAATGGAAAACTAACTTTTTCCAGTTTAAAATTAACATCTCTGCCAACTGTTCAACCGAACCGGATGCCTAGCCGTAGTAGCCTGAGGTCCGGTTGTTCCGGCTGTCTGGCTTACTTCACAAACAAGTTGCCGATAACATGGTACTGGTGTCATTCTCGGGCGCTGGTCTAGATAACATGCTGAAGATTTGTAACATTTACTCGAGATCTGTACAACCCTTCAAAAAGCGTTGTTATAACTTTTAACCCAGCTATTCTAGTGACCCGGTGATATGTTCTCTCCGAAATGACGTCATACCTTTAACTTCACATATAACCATTTAGGTGTTGAATGTGATCAGCATTTGTCAACGATGAAACTAAGCATTTGCAGCAGTGGATTGCATCCAGTTTCTATAAGTCCTACTACACTCTGAAAAATTTACATGATAGTTGTTATACCTAAAGCGCTATATGCTTGTGAAACTGGACATGTTTCTCAAATAAAGGCATATCCAATTTAGAATTAGCACACAACTTCTGTGTTAAATGTATACAAAATTGTCATAAATCTATTTCCACAGAATTCATTATATATGTTGATGATACCTATAGAAAGTATAGGAAATTACAATTATTTGGTCAATTATTCTGATTGCCATCTAACTACGTGTATGTTGCTAAACAGAAAGTTGTTATATTTATATTGATTAGATATATGAATAAGAATAGACAGAATCATGGATTTATTCCAGACATATATAGATTACCGCAGAAATATGATCTGTTGTACGCCATTTATACGTTTATTGATGCCGGTGTGTTTTCATCTAAATTAAAATGAAAGATTTTACAGATGAAGATAATCAATGTATCAACAAAAGACGTATTCTTAGAAACTTTAACGCCACAAGTGCCAGCATTAACATTTCTACTTTATCCTTATAAGATTTTGCATTTGTGGGTTATTAGTCGTAAAAGTCCGGGTCTAAAATGGGTTGCCGGAACACTTGCCAAGGCAGTTGGACACAGGATTTTTTTTGTGCGTCTGTGTAGCTCTTGCAATCTTCTTACGAAGATCTATTTGTTAATTATTTATAAAGCATGAACACATAGACTTCAGTAGCTTTCAAATTGTTTATTTTCGTCATCTAGGATGCATATACCAATATTCATTTGATAATCATGAATAATCAAGAGAAACTGAATCTCAAAACACTACATAAATAAAGACATTATTTGTTTTAAAAAAATAGTATATCACTTTATTTACTGTAGGAAAATATGCCAAGTATAAAATTAAGACAAATTAAAAATATGTTTTACAAATCATAAAATTGAGCAGTAATAGTATTCTTACGGAATGACTATGATACACTAAATTCATTATTTGAACACATCCAAGGAACAAATGAGTTTTAAAAAGCAAAACTTGTAAAAATACAATATGTAAAATATATAATCTCAATAAAAGGCATGTATGTATAGAAATGATATAATAGGATAAATCTAACCCCAAAAATTGGCATCGTTCGGTTTGTTCCATAAAACACCTTCTTTTATTCTAAATCAATGAATTGTATGACGTACTTATCCAATATATTTCCATTTTGGACGTTATAACGTCCAATATAATTATTCTGCTTTTGGCCATTTCGTCAATGATGAAATATAAGCCGTTAACTACAGAAGAATCCAAATAAATTCTAATAAATACGTCTTGCAAGCAACATCTAACCTTAACAATATTAATTAAATCGCGTTTCCTTTATCGAATTTGGATATAGAATAAACAGGTTATTAAACATTTGACAAGTACAATATAGGAACATATTTGTACAAAGCTTTAGAAACTACATTATACATGCCTGGCGGCTCGTCCAAGATGGTTTCTCCAAATGTGTACAAGTCCAAATATATTCCCGTATTGTACAGTTAAATGTTAAATACTAGTAACCTACCCATATTTATTACTTTTCCACACTTGCCTGATGCAAGATGGAATTTATCAAAATTCTTCATATATATATTTATAGATGCGGCGTTCAATATACAATGACATTGTTTGAATACCTGTTGCCGGAAAAGTACAACGAGTCTCTGTCGAGTACATTGATTTTATGATATAAATCTGGTAAATGTAGCGGCGGGCTGTGGTCGACTTTGCATGCTATTCATTTTCGTATGCAGCTCGTTACAAAAACTTTATTCATCGAACAGAGCTATGCGACCGGGGAGCTATTTGAAGTGGACTCTACGATGTGACAATGCTTTACAACGAAAGGTTTCTCTCACTGCCTTGTCTAAAAATGAAAAGCATTTGTCTAACGATTCAAATATGATTCAAAGAGGACAATCATTATCACCTGAACATGTTCATTTCTATCAGAAAGAAACAACAACAAAGAAACAAAGTGAGTTATAAATTGTATAAATGTTGCAATCTATTTGGACCGAAGGAGTTCTTTGATTTCTTCGAGCTGTTGGGAAAGGTGATCAACTTTCATTTCAAGATGTTGCGTCATATTGCGAAGCCTCGTTTTCACTGTTTGTACTTCTAGGCCATCTTTTATCTGCTTGTTTTGAATTTTCTCAATTTTCGACGATATAACTTCAATAGTAGAATTTTCTTTTTTCTCAATGGCTTTGATATCAACGTCTTTAATAATGCGCTTGAAATGTTTTACCCGGTTCGGCTACAATAAACATTAAAGCATACCAGTATTATTATCATTAATAAAAATAATACATATACTAATGATAATGATAATATTTATAAAAAAAGTATAATTATTATTACATGTACTATGAATAATGATTATTATTATTATGAAAACAACAACAACAACAACACCAAAAATAGATAGATAAACCGGTAACACAGCTTTACGCAATCTTTTAGGTATAATATAGAATAGAAATTTATAAAGTACTAATTTGTATGTACATCCATGAAAGACAGATGTTGCCCTGTCAAAAAACTATTCATACATACCTGTCTTGGAAGAATATGCCATTCATTTCTTTCTGCACGTGCAACAGTCCAAGCACGATTTGCTCGTACTGTCTTCACACAATCGCCATGTGTTCTTGTGTAGGTTTCACTCACTTGAGCAATTAATATATTTAGCAAAGCAACAATTGTGAAACACATGTACACCATCATAAAAATAATTCCAGCTGTCCTGTAAGTAAAAATGTATATCGAGAAATTGTTAAATTCCTATATTGCATTGCGCACAAAACTAGAAATTTTCATAGATTCCCAAAAGGAAATAATTCTGTAAAAATTAAATCCAGCCGAAATTTACTGGCCTTTTACATTGAACTCCTATCATGGTTTTAAGGTTATTCGTCAAGTTTTTAGTTATCTTCAGTAGATTTGAATTTTGATGTTGCACACAAAACCTGTTCACAAAGGGCCATAATTCAGTTATAATTTATGTGAGAGTTTTGGTCCTAGGACAGTAACCTAAAATTATCATTCTGAAGACATGTTCATGTGACTTCCATTATCATTTTAAAGAGGTTAGGTTTCAATCAATGTTCACTGGTATGTAAAAGAACAAGAAGTTACAGTAAAACTTTAATCAATATGTAGCATCGCCGCCGACACTTGGGTGAGTATGATTTCGAATAGTCCAGCTTGAATAAAAAAATAACAAAATCAACAAACGCTTATTTTGTAAACGTTTTTTCCCCTCAATGTATATAATGAATTCAGCAAAATAATCAATATTGTAAAGTTTAAGATACCTGTATCCTTCAGTTCCGGAGTACTCGACTATAGGTCCAGCTTCTATTAACGTCCTTAGACCCACATACATGATACTTTGAAACGAGCTGAAATAAAATACAGGTAAAACATTTATGCCTTTGCAAAATATTTGTCCACGCTGTTAGTTTGTTCGAAAATTGCGTTAAAAAACAACTTACATAATGATAACATGACCATAATCCCATTTGTATTACAATGTTCAAACAGTAAATGCGTGTGCATTGCCATATTAGATAGAGGAAAATAATCAAATAATGTCATAAACATTATTATACAGTAAATGATGATATTGGATTAAATATTATTCTAAAATATAAAAATGTGTACTCAAAATATACACGATCAACGTAAGTAATATTTGTAGTAAGTCATTTATATTGTGTATATTTATTGTTTGTATTTGTGTCTAAGCTCAGAGTAAATCTTTTTATTATTTATTTTTGTTTATCTGTGAATTAGATAATTTTTCACAGGATAACTATACCCTCATTTGATTAAGGCTTATAAGAAACTTTGTCAAAGCCACAGTTTAACAATTTCAATTGAGTAATTATCTAAAATATTTACCTTGTGTCAGCGAATGTGTCCAAGTTATCATCTGCTTTGAGAATCAGTAAGAATGTTCCAGAAAATATTAGATTTACCGCCGCAAACAGAATACCAAATTGAACGAAATCTTGAGCAATTATTCGTTTGATAACCTCTGCATATATACCTGTGATACTGAAATAGAGCGGAATATGTTTCAATGTTAACTTCAAAATCGGCATTACAATTACCAAGTGATGCAATTGCATGTCCGTTTATTAAGACACTTGTGCAATATTTAAATATAATTTAATAATGTAAATTCAGTTATAAATTAATTGTTGATGAAATTGAACTTCGTTAAAAATTAAAAAGGGAAATGATAACATAAATATACCTGAACACTACGGAATACTTGAAAATTCTAATGGCCCATAAACAATATCCAATGGCGAAGATATACCAATGTACCCTAACGTTAGTATAACGTAGTGGCAAAATCATCACCAGCAGTACTGAAGAAGTTAACTCTAACAAGTTGAATACCTGAGTGAAATATTGTCGCCCGTGTCTGAAATAAAACCCAAAAATTATTCAGTATTTGAATCATTAACAGTAATTATACATAAGCGGTCACAAGACCAGTGAACGCAACCATTTTCAACAAAAGTCTTGCAGGAATTCTCTCAAATTCATAAAGTGGAATAATTCAGTAAAATGCAAGATATTTAGGCATTTATAAGTAATTGAAGTTACGATTTTGAATACTTCTGTTAAGTGACAGAATGAGTGTGATGACGATTTTGCTCAATTCAGAGAGTACAAAGAAATGATCGAAAAAAAAATGCTAGCGTTAAGTGTTATATATTTCAAAAGAAATTTTCGTGTGAAATAATTTCTAGAGAAGAAGTCCAAAGCATTAAAGAAGGAGCCCAAAGCATTTTACTGGAATGCTTTCCCCTTGTTAATTGAAAATGAACAGAAGGCGAAACTGTCGCGGAGCTTTTGACGTTTCAGGGAAACCATAACAGTTCCTTAGAACTGATTTTAATACGTCTACTTATATAGCAAATATAGATAAGTGATGATCCTATGTTGTACCTTATAATCTGTCGAATTTCGGTGAATAATACTGCAACAGCATACAAGTAAGCAATGACTTCGAAAAAAGCTCGGGAGTGTTGAAGCCTCGTGTCGTAATTTTGAATATCAGGGGCGCTAACTCCTGTCACAGCAGAATACGTCCAGCAAAATAAACTGAACAAGTACATGAAGAAATAGGATCTGTAATGTAACAAATCACGAAAGTTTACAGACCAGATATCTCTAAGCTTTATATGCATGTAAATAGTTATTCCAAAGCAATATCATTTATCTAAAACACAATAAGAAATACATTCTGAGTAGCCAATAACAGAAAAAGATACTTGCTGTATGTACATTATGAATATATGTAGAAACGTACTAATAGGTGGCAGTAAACAACAACGACTTTTATAACACCATTAAAACAGAAACACCAAAATAATATATATAGCAACAAGCATAGATAAAAACCAATTAAAAAAAGGAATATTTAATGAAAGTTTGTAATACATACAAGGTCAGTATACTATTTTATTAGACTAAAGAGGTTACTTACAGAAAACGTGTCTGACACCATTTTCCCCACTTGTGTTCAACATACGTGCGTACGGCAGGGTGATTTAGTGCGTCCTTAAAATAAATGTTGAAAGTAAAATATATGTATAAACAAGTCTGGTTTTTGTAATCTAAAATTAAAGTTGTAGCGAAGTCTTAAAATACCCCCCCCCCCCCTTATTACGTCCCAGGTAGAGAGACTAAGAAAACAAAGTACTGAATGCAATATCTGCTTCCAAGCTGCCAACATACGTAAATTAAAACTTTAAAGAATGTGTAATGACTTGATTTTTGTGCAAATAATTTTTTTAGACATGTATATAAACTGCTGAATAAAGCGTTTCACTAGTTCTAAATTTTCTTTATTACATGTACAGATACTTACTTTTTTGTCGCACGTTGCCATATCTTGAAAAGCCGTGTGATATTCGAAGTCGAAATTCATATCAGTTGGTTCATTTCTAGCATTATCAATATCTAAAAGTTTTATGTGAACCTTGTATAAACCATTTCTTTGTTCCTCCAGAAAACTGTCCAAAACTCGCAGCAATGTTTGCTGTAAATTATTAAATAAAAATATCTATACAATATATAACATTATACGAAATATAATAATATGACCGCTTTATATAACTCATCACACACTCGATTAAAAAAAGAAGCTTATTCAGTTTTGAGCTGTTTTTAACAAATACATATAAAGAGAAATGTGGAAAAGACCAATGGGGACATTTCAACTTTACAAATTCAAGATTTAAGTTTCGTGAATTTATGGTTTTAACTTCACAAATTCAGGATTTAAAAGCTGAAATTGTGAATTCATGAAGTTGAATTCGTGGAGTTGAAATCGTGAATCCCGTATGCTGAAAACGTAAATTCACGAAATTAAAATTGTGAAATCGGGAATTCATGAAGTTGAAATGTCCCCACCGGTCTTTCGTAGAAATGTATATTTCCCACAGAATCCAATATATTTATTAGCAGTGAGCAGAAGCTTTCTCTAATTTACATTGGTTTTATGGTGTTAACACTTATGGCATAAACACGTGTCACTATAGTCGTGCACTAAAACATGAATAACCATTTAACTCTTTATATCACCCCGCGTTACACTAAAACATCGTATGACCACATGTGAATCACGTGCTAGAATAAACACGTGTTATAACTCAATTTCATTTAATAGTATATAGCCACTTGTTTAATTTAAACGTGTAACGATTAACATTTATGGCATGACCTCCAACAAATACACACATTCTATAAAAGGTGTAAAACTAAACGAGGCGATGTCATTTACAAAATAGCAATTAGATTCATTACAATCTTATATTATATTGAAATACATTTAAACTTACATCAAGACCACGTGCTATCAATTCGTTTATTGTAAACATCGGTTTCACGGTGTTTTCATCAAACGTTCCAAAAACAATTAACTTATTTGTGTGTGCACTTTGTCCGCTGTTGCTCTTCTGTTCTGTTGATTTAGCACCATGTTTGCTAACTTTTGATTTGCCATCTCCGAAAAGACGTCGCACCCTAAAGTCAACAAAAATGTTCATGGAATATATGGTTAAATAATTCTACATTTTTTTTCGTTTTCGATCAACAAATGAGCCGCGTCACGACAAAACCAACATAGTGCGTTTGCGACCAGCATGGATCCAGACCATCCTGCGCATCCGCGCAGTCTGATCAGGATCCATGCTGTTCGCTATCAGTTTCTCTACTTGTAATAGGGTTGGTAAGCGAACAGCATGGATCCTGATTAGACTGCGCGGATGCGCAGGCTGGTCTGGATCCATGCTGGTCGCAAACGCACTATGTTGGTTCTTTCGTGACGCGGCTCATATACAACCTTTTGTCGCGAATGAAACGATATGAAATACTCAATCTTAATGTACATTCTATGACCCGAAATTTAAAAATGATAAAGGGAAATAAAATAACTTACACAAAGTTGTTTAGTTTACTAACAATAAGCGCCGCCATTTCATCATAATTTCTTCTAATGGCTATATGAAGTGGTATTTCCATCGAAGAATCATAAGACAGCGGGTCAAAACCATAGTCTAGAAACTTCTCCACCACGCTTAGAAAATTCTTCTCTACTGCTTTATGTAGAACAGAACGCCCTGATTCATCCTTATCTAAATCGTTCAAATTCTCTCCCATATGTATCAATTGATGAAATGTTTTCAAAACCTGAAAATACGATTAAAGCAATGAAATATTCCACAGATCGCGGTAGCAATGTATAGGATAGATCATGAGTACCAGTTGGATGTGAGATTTATCAACGAGCGAAGCGAGTTGATAAATCTCACATCCAACTGGTACGAGCGATCTATCTGACTTAGACCACAGGTAGTTTTCTCTGTTTATGGTGAAGATTAAACATGCGGTAACGTTTTCTTTTCTCCTACAATCACATAGGGATATCCAAATGGTTCTTATTCAGTCTATTTGGCCTTATTGTAGGCAAAAAAATGCACGAGAAAATAGCATTATTCATGTTTTTTTATAAGTTACTGAATACACACTCTTATGAATGATAGATTTCACATTCCATTTTAAATTTCTATCACAAAAGGTGCAGTCAGGAAGAATTTAACATTTCTGAATGTGATAACATTACGATTTCACACCTTGAGTGATTTTGTTGTTATTCCTGTTGATTCCTCATTTATATGATTTAATGACATATCACCGTACACAGTGCTTGAATAAGAAGTCAAGAAGCAAGACTGCTTACCGAAAAATGCTCTTAGACAGAAGTCATGGGCGATGGCTTGTTAACAAGAGTGGGCTCGTTGGAGACACTGGCAGGTAACTTTCATTTAATATTTTCCTTAATGCTTAAAGAACCCTAGGGCTCAGGATATTTATTGGTTGTTTGGCTGAAGTTGAAAATATTTAACTTGACTTGTAGATTTTTTTATTTATTGTATGCTTTATATACATCCTGCATTGACTTTTCATGAACTTAAAAAAATATTACAAACGTCCCTCTGAAGCCTTAAAGCATAGCATTTCCCGCAGCCCAGTCACCATTCAAAAACTCTTTGCCAACCAGTGGAATCCCCTCTTCCAAAACGAGTAAATGAATGTACATCTACAGTGTCTGCTATTAAGAGTGAGCCGGGCATAATTCAGGATGCGATTATTGAAATCACAGTACTTGAAAATATTAGCACAAAAGCGGTAGTAAAATTTAGATACAAATATAGATTTAAATAGATTGATAAACGCATTTCACTTCATTATTTATAGTTTTTTCTTATTTACAAATACAGTAACTATTCTTGTAAAATAATGAAATGTCGAAATAAATTGGTCAAAGGACTTTTGCTATCTGTTTGTTTTTTAAGAAGGGAACTACACTATTTATTTTACAATATAAATAGAATTTCCCCCCTCATAAAGCGTGCACATAACAGGGTTTTCCTTTCAGTTGAATACAAACATGATAGTTATATCAAACACTTTACTGTGATGTGTGGGATATATCACACACTTTTTAGCCTCTCTGATTGGCCGAGAGAAAACAGCTGTGGTCTAAATATTAATAGCGAGCAGCCATGAATATGTTATATGCCCAGACTAGAATGGATGCGCATGGTGGTCGCACTCTTCACGTGAGGGTCAATCGTTATATTGTCACTGCTAGTACATGTATTCTAAAGATTAATACTTAAACAATATGAAAGATACCAAGGTAAAGTTGGAAATTACATTTTTACATGTTGATAAAAATGATTATGAATATTTGTAAATATATTATGAGAATTTTGCCTAAGTGACTCAGACAAGCGCAATTCGCATTACTCGTTTCGCTCGCTCCCCAAAGATTCATTTACTTATATCTTGTTTATGTATAAAGACAATAATGGTCTTGTTTAAAAGAATAATAAATGGGTACAGTGCCAATATTTCATCCGTTGTTTTGAGTATTGGCGCGTATAATTTTTAGAAATTAATTAATTAGTTAGAAACCAAGAGGGATAACTTTAATGTTCAACAAAATATGTAACCCTACCGTTTCTTCCGAACTATGTTTGAATAAATTATTTATCACTTGTGAAGGAGTTTGTTCATTGTCATCGTCATCTTCAAATCTTACAACTTTCTTTTTCTCCAGTTTCTGTTACAAAAGAAAACCGTTAACAAATATGATAAATTGGTTAATAAATGACAGGAACATTCAATGCAAAAAACTGACTGACTAGCTGACAAACTAAACTAAACTAAACTAAACTAAACTAAACTAAACTAAACTAAACTAAACTAAACTAAACTAAACTAAACTAAACTAAAACTAAAACTAAAACTAAAACTAAAACTAAACTAAACTAAACTACTGACTGATAAACTAAACTAAACTACTGGCAGACTGACAAACTAAACTAAACTAAGACTAGGACAGAAGGACGGGATTTGATAAGAATTAGGATAATTACGAGCTTATCCTGTATTCGACATTTCAATACGTCTGTTGGTCATATTGAGCACATTTTACAATGAAACATATTGTCAGATTGCTATTAAATTACACTTCCCATTGTATATTTAAAATGTATATTATATTTTGTATATGCCTTTTTTAAAATTTACACACTTTTTATTTTTGCTTATTGGCTTAAGGCTCCGGCTGAATACATTTGACAGAGAAGGGAAGATAGATGGACGGACGGACGGATAGATAGATGAATTGATAAATTTGATTGGATAGGATGGATGCATTATTTATGCGCTTTATCTTTAAACAAACATTCTTACTGCGCAAATTTTGAAATATAATGCATGAAAGATTTCACTCCAAACTTACCTTTTCTACATTATCACCTTCTTCGTCCTCTTCGGAACTCGACGAATCTTTTTCTACTACGTGAGTTATCTGCCTTGACTCTGATCGCTCTGTAAGTGATCCAAGTTTGTTAGCAATGCTACGATATATTCTGGATAATTTTCCAACCCTCTTTAGACGCTTTGCTGACTCAAAAGATTCCTTTGAATTAATAGGAAGAACAAATTTTAAATGTTTTTGCAGAAATTTTTGTGTGTGTACTTAACTCAAAATGCAAATATTTGATGCGAAAGTTTGATAATATTTTTGAGTAAATATACACACAATATACAATTTTATCACAATTGTACAGAAATAATGGTTATGTGTACACAAAATATTGTTTGACTATAAGTAATAAGTAGCCATTCTTTGAAATCTTAACTGTGTAAAATGGTTTATGCAATAATATGTGGCGTTCGTGACCGAGTGGTTAGTGCCGCTTACTTCAAAGCACGTGCCCCTTATCGTTGTGAGTTCGAATCTCGCCAGAGACGGATTCTTTCATGTGAAAAAGCTACCCAGCTAGCTTAAAAAACGTCGGTGGTTCTACGCAGTTACCCGTTCGTGCCTGAAATAATTGAAGTGGCACCTGATGTATTTTTCCAACAGTAAAACCAAAATGTCGCCATATGACCTCTACCGACATAAAAATCAACACAAATTAATAGATAAAAAATAAATAACAAATATATAGAACTTAGAAAAACCAACAGTATATAGCTTTGCCGGAATGCACATTTGAACAGACTGCACTGACATTTCTAGTGCTAGTTACCAATGCTACTAGATTACCTGAGTTAAATCAAACTTTTTTCTTATTTTTTTTTCATTGTAACCATGCAAATTTTGTGTAAACCTTTATCTTCAAAGATACTTACAGGCATAGTATATACATCGCATGCTGGATTGAAGATGGAACTGTTTTGTTTTTTATCCATATCGTTTTGTGCAGAAACCTGTAAAAAAACGGACACAATACAAAATCCAAATATATGAAACATCTCAAAAATAGAAACAGTATGGAGGGGAAAATATAACAAATACATGTTTATCATTTGACGAAGAAAATAAGAAAAATGGTGATAAATACATTTTGTTAAAATTAAGTTGAATTGCAACTTGTATTTACTTGTAGCATTTGCCACCCATACCCTTCATTTTCTCCATAAAATAAACCATTCAGAATAACTGAGTTAGCCAGGAAGACTTAACGTTTTCCAATTAAATTTTGTACTTTAAATTATATACAGCTTACAATAAGTTATATAACTTTTAGATGACATTGAAAACATACGAATTTCTTGTAAAACTACTCGTATATAGAAAATTCTACATAAAATTTACCATTCCACCTTCTTTCTCTTCGGAGATCTGCGGATGTTTTCCAAGTTTTTCAGGAAAGCTATTGTGTTTGTTTGATATTTTCCGAACTCTGTCAGTAATCATCTCTGAAGGTCGAGATTCCTGTAATATATATATCAATTGCATAGATTGGTCATATAATCAACGTATTTTATGGTGCGAAACATCAGAAACATTTGCGTGTTTGATTGTTTAACTTGGTAGATAACTAACCATTGTTTTCCGTATACATTATTATGAAATGCTTTAAACTGAGGGGCGACCATATATTTTGTCATTATTATTTTTACAGAAAATTTTATTATTTTCAAAGAAAATAAAAGAAAGTATGGAGAGTTTAGTATTATTTCTAGCACGTTATGGAAGGTACTTAGTGACGATGGAATTTATAAAGTGATCTTTGAGGTACTTACAGTCAGTATATCAGTAGCAAACTCATTTGTTGGAAATAAAGACAAGTCTTTCAATGTTGGAGGGGAGATGGAACTTTGCACCTGTCGACCATTCTCGTTCTTTGCAAACATTTCATGAAAAAATATATTTGTCATAAAACAGTTTGTATTGTAAACCTTGATTATAGAACTGAACAAAACAAAACATCTTATATACCTTATTTGACTTTAGCATTTAACTCACACCATCGTTAACAAAACAAAGAAAACATACATACTTATGATAGATCATGAGAGATAATTTCATATAATACATACATTATAAATACAAATGTACATACATCATTATTTGCCATAAGACCCCAAAATGCTTTTCTTTTATTTCTTCTTCATTTTTGTATTTTGATATCCTTTTAAAGTTATAATAAACTTACTATGTTGCCAAAAAACACCTTTTGCTTCTGTTCCTTTTTGGAAAAAGTACAGTTATAGTAATGTTGAATTTTGTATGGAAGTCTAATACTGAATGTTTGCTTTTATGACAAGTATAGTTTCACACGTGATAAGCTTTATCTAATAAACATTATAAATCTCATATGTGCCTTTTCTAAAGAAAAAAAAACCTGATTCATTATGTGCCTTTAACATGCATTCTGTGATAATGTAATAAACTATTGCAATGCTTTAAAAAATACTGCTTTGTAGTATTGAAATACATGGATACTTAGTAATATTTGGGTGGGTAAATATTATACTTTGGGATAAAGGAGTATTATATTTAGAGTGTTATATTAAATACAATGAATGTTGAAGTGTTATATCAAGTATGTTGAAGTGTTATATTAAGTGTTATATTAGGTGTTATATTAAGTATGTTGAAAGGGTCATTATCAGTAAAATGACCTCTGTGATTAGTTTACATTCACATTTTAGCAATTCGATAATTAAACATCTTGGTTATTAAGACCAAGCTCTAGACATTATCTAGTTATCAAACGTTATCTAATTAATTAACATTTCAATATTTTGATTAAAGTAATCTCACCGTATTCCGACCTACAGGGATTCCATTTGTCCTGAAATTAAAGAAAAAACATAATTAAGGCCAAAAATTGTTTAGGTTACTAAAAACTTTAAGGACGCTAAAGAGGATTTAGTTGTCCGAAAAATCGACGTTTTTAGGCCTAAGTCTAAATGCCATCTCTGCTCAGTTTAATATGTTGATAATAAAACGTAAACAAAGAATAGTGTTAAAGTGAGATTCATGTGATAAAACAGTGATTTAATCGGTAATGACTAAGCTAGTAATATTTTACGTTTAATTACTTGGTAAAATCGGTATGTTCCGACAATTTCCGTTTTGGAATTAATTGATGTCTTAACCAGAAATGAATAAAGATGCGCAGTCTACTGCATGAGCTCACTTTGTGTGTTCTTTTTTAAGGATTTGACATGTCTTATGACACAAGAAAAACAATTCTAATACTTTATAACCTGATCTGTTCTGTAAGATTTATACAGAAACAAATTGTTTCAATACGGTCCTTCAAGCTGCCAAAATTGTTTATATCGAATTATCATTTTAATAAAATAAAAACTAGATCTAATTTACTGATTTCTGTAGTCACATTTATAAATGATGTTAACGTCACGTCTGTTCGACAACTGGCGTCACAACGTACAAATATTTATATCCACACATTCAGTGTTTAGAAAAAGGAATATACATGTATATTATTAGTTATAGATATTTTTGACAGGTTATATGGCCCTATATAAACGGTTGTTTGTACTGCTGGGCGAATTTATAATACAGAAAGCATCATTATAGAGGAAAATAAAGCGAGATTTTTTTTATAAATTGACAGCAGCCTGTATAAACGTCACGATTATCCAATGAAAAGCGACGTTACAAACGTGCAGTATATATTATTGCTTTACCTTGCTTTACTATTATCCTGATCTAGGGTAGATATCTTATTCTTTCTTGCCATCTCGTTCTCATCTCGAGATTTCACGTTCTCATCACGAGATTTCACGCCATGTCCAAGAGCTGTGTCCGGTTCATTATCACTTTCTGCTTCTTCAGAATGCAATACTTTATTTGTCCTCTTTGTCATCGCTTAAAAGCACGTGCATCAAGTGACTACAGCGATGAATGAAATAATTACTGCCTTATTAAATCTCTATGTTTATTCTATGTTTTAAGAAGTCTTTAACACAACTACAATTGTGCGGATTTTAACAAGTGGATAACATGACTTGTCTTGTCTTGTCTTAAATTCTACTCTACATGTAAAAACAGTATATGTACTTCTAAGTTTTTATAATGGAGATCAGTGAGAGTTTATAATGTTCAATAATTAGCACAATATATATGTACATCTATGAAGAAAAGAATAGTATATAATATGTTTACAAACGCGAACTGTATATTTGTGTGTTATATACTATAATATTTGATGGCTAAATCACCGATCTTCACTAGCATTAGTACATGGATCATAATGTATACACTCCCTATATATCTTAAAGTATATTGTTTTAATGATATAAATGGTGTAACAATTGTACTATAGTATTAAAATCTCGATAGTGATTGACAGCAAAATAAAATGCAATATAAAGAGAAAAAAAATGCTCAAAAAAAAAGTTTTAAAATCTACAGAATTTTCTGTTCACAGTTTTTAAATATCATTTACTTACATCATACTGATATCAAATAAGATCTTTCAATTCGTCATAACTGTTTTCGCGTGGAAAAAGGGATAATTAATGTATATTCATTTATATTTTATGTGCTAGATAAATCACTCGTACTAATATCTGATAAAAATATGTATTTGACTTTCGTGGCTAAATTCTGTCACATCCAGTCATAGAAATAGTGAATACAGAAATGTGATTTTGGAAGAATGTTTTAAAAACTAACAGCCGGTCAGTTTCTCTTATTTGGATGGGACGAGATTTTAAGTTTTTGAATAAATACGCAACAAGCTGTAAATGAAATGTTCATTTGACTCACTCCTTTCAAAAAATTAAAATAAAAAAATAAATGATAAATTGTCCCGTTCTGTTGATCAATGATATTGTTACCAAGTTGGAGAATCTCATTGATATTATTTAAAGGTGACCTCTAGTCTCCGCTGGTTTTAGAAAGTACATTATGTGATGATAAGCCAGTCTGAATATAACTAATACATTTAAGATTGACAGCAAAATAAAGAGCAATAAAAATCTCTTGGGCAGCTGCATCATTTCTACCAGTTTTAAGTCATTTTTGTTTTTATCTTTTTATCGCACTCTTGTAGTCTTCTTTTAACTTGCTTGTATCTTATATAGTATGATGTGGATATAGAAAGTATTCTTCGCATAGTTTTAGATAACTTTTTAAAACAGATTTTTTATTTTGTATGCAGAAAAAAATAACAAACCTTATGACAGTAATCTTAAAGTATTCCCCTGTCAACTCCTTGATATTTTATTTTTAAAACTAAATACTAGTAGCTGAAATATCTATATAGCATTCTCAAATATCAACATAAAACATGTTTAAACAAATCATTACTGACCAGCCAATCGCAATCAATACATAATCTATGTAATGTTACAAACACGTGTACAACGCCATTGTCTAATTCACACCTAGTTATTGTCCAAACAGTGTTTGCACACAAAAGTTATTGCCCCTGGCGTCGCCGTAGTTTTCGTCGGTAATAAATGTTTTTATACGATTAAATCAAACGCCAGCAGATATCTATATAAATTTATTAAATGTAGATTGTCTGTATTTACACTATAACGGAACATGTTATCATAATAACCTGGCCGATACTTACTACATTTACAAAATTTAGGCCCTATATTCTTTGTAATAGTCTATGACCACCGATGTATTTTGGTATTCGATAAATAAAAGTCTAATTTGGAACAGAAATGTTTTTCATAGTTAACAAATCGGGAGTTTGTATAAAGCAATGTTTCTATGATGTAAAGCACAATACTTTTTCTTATTATAGGATTGCAAATATATTTTATTCGAGATAGAATTTACTTACCTGCACATACATTAACAAATTCAATTCTAATGTATATGTTTTTTTACAAATTGACTTCAAGTAGCTAGTAAAATATTGCATATTGTATCAAGTTTAATCATCATGAATGTAAACAGGAAAGTGGTATTTCTAACAGACGGGCAGAATAAGACTTCATATTATCTTATAAGTACTATTGGGACTTTTAGAAGCAACAATTTACTACATTTTTGTATTTCTCCTAGTTTGGACATTAAAAGGCATATATATACATGTATGTATTAACTTCAAAGTTTGGTGACAGGATACAGAATATTTGTTTTAATTGACCAATAGCCGATATGACATCAAGTCACGTGACACAATGAAAACAACAACAAGCGTATATACTTTACAGTACAATATTTGAATATTGCCAGTTAGCTCAATACTTAGAGCGCTGGACTGTGAATCGGGCGACCCGGGTTCGATCACCGGACGGTGCAGGTCACTTTTATTGTGATTGATCAGGAAATCCTTTCTATGTTCATTAATGGTCATTAGCACTCTACCTCTGCTCTAACATAAACATAATTTATCAGTTTCTGGCGAAAGTGAAGGTAACTAGAACTAGTAAACTACTTGACAGCCTGCCCGGGAACGATGCTCTGGTAAATCCACTATTAATGTCACTTAGTGCCGTGATTCGGACTGAAAACTACCAACACCACGCCTGCGGAATGAGATCTATATGACAAAGGGGGTCATGATTATCCTGTAAAAACAAACAATCGGTCAGTAGTTAACTGACATTACCATTTCAAACACAAGGATAACAACAGTTACAAATCTGATAATTTAATTATTAAAGTCAAATTACCTTTATTACATACAATTCATGTTAAGATAAGATAATCTTCGGTTACAATAAAACATAATAATACTAATACTAATGCCACTACATGTGAAAGATAATATGCTTCATGTATGTGTATACCATTTAATGTCAAAGTTGTTTGCGATTATCTGTTAACAGTATGCAACATTGTCTATCCGTGCAGCATAGGCCAATACGAGTATAAGCCTAATGAACTTTTCCTAAATAGGCAATAAGTATACTCTTATAATGCTTGTTACTTTTACAGCATCTTTATGTAAGTGGTTGTTGCATATCAAGGTTTGTACATTATATTTTCAGTGTTGATATGGTTATAGGTTTGGATTAAATGCATAATTATTGTATTTGGTTATGAAGTTTTAACGGCCAATCAAAAATGCGAGCATGGTCTCTAAAATCTTATTAACCCTAGTAGGTGGCCAAGTGCAGTAGAAGAAATAAATTAAAAGAGACTTACATGGAAGTTGAAGTTCAATTATTATTCTACTGCTACTGGACCAAATGGTTTAATGGTTACCCCTCCCATATGCATAATCCATTGTCGCTTTTTGCATAATTATGTATGCTCTGAATGTCTGTTTGGTCACCTGATAAGATCATATGTTCATTTCATAGAACCCTGTGGTCCAGTAGCAGTAAAATAATGATTTAACTTCAACTTCCAGGTGAGTCTCGTTTAATTTATTAATTTTCCGACATAACAGACTATCGTTCAACAGGCAAACAAACTGTATAAAAATTAAATTAAGAGAATCAATTATTCATCTATGATAAAAGTTATAAAATAAATATTAATAAAAATAAGCACTTGTGGATAAAATAACAATTGATTACAAGCAAATATGCAAATATCACAACACAAGCAAATATCACAACACAAGCAAATATCACAATACAAGCAAATATCACAACACAAGCAAATATGACACTATAATGCAACATGCTAGAAATGCATTTTATGTATACTTAACCGAATAATCAAAATTAAAACAAGAATGCAAATAATGGATCAGTCATGTTAAGATAAGATGAGATATATATTTTGGCATGATGTACATACACGGTAAAATAACACATGGAGACAGACATTACATAACACAAACATGAGCACAAAAGCCATGACATGCACACCAACACCAGAGATAACACAAACTAGGGTATATCCTCATTTCCATTGCGGTCCCTAAGTGTTGGTGGCATGACATATAGAGGCAATGATAATACTTAATATCACAGAAAATATTACAAAGAATAGTATCACATTCAATTTATCACAAATGCTTAGTATTATGTTGGTATTATCATATACAATACACAATAGACTATATTCAATCCTATTATATGAAAAATAAAACAAAAGATTTATATCAAAGACAGTTAAGTATTTGTGTTTTTTGATACGTATATAAGTTACTCTCAGGATCTACCCTAATAGTTTAGACATATTTATCTAGAAAGTTATATAAGCATTATTTTCTAAAAAACATATTCATGCATAACTCATGCCAAAATGTATCATCAAACGTAAGTAGTCATAAAATATAAGTTAAGAACATGTGTTAAAGGACTTGCTGTAATGGATGCCCTCTTGGAATATCATCAAGACCTGTGGCTTTATTTTAAAATGTTTGTTTTCTGTTACTAGTGAAAAAGAAAATATAACCCCTTTGTCAGGATAAAATTTATTAAAAAAAGCTTTACAATACCTGTGTATACCAGCGGGTAATTTTTCAACAAGCTTAGCTGTAACAGTGGTGTAAAAAGTCGAAAGTTTCAGAATTCATCCATGGCTGGCTCTTTGTTTAATGCTAATTAATTTGCTTGACAGGGGCAATGTTTTTAAAAAATGACATTAATACAAATTGTTTCAGTAGCATGAATGGCCCAGAGACCAAAACATGCTGCCTGAGCATATATCAGAAGCAGCAATCTGATATATACTAAACCAAGAAAATATGAATTATACAAAAATTACATATACATGCATCAAAAGTTGGAAATGTTTGTGTGGCCGCCGCTGATTTTGACCTGGTCTAAAAACTGGAATAAGACGATATGGGGTAAGAGAAAAAAAACAACAACAATTAAATGGTTTAAAAGCTGTTATCCCCTAAATAAAATTTGGGAAGAGCTGATCAGCAGATACCATACAATAAACATAAATACATTTGGTAAATTTAATCCGAGCACGATATGCAGAACTTTCGTCAGTTCTAAAAACACAAGCACAGTCCATTAAAAGATTAACGCAAGTAAACATAGTTAAACTGCAAGTGATAAACAAAATTATTACTATTAAACTTATACGCATTATATCTTACGAATTGTTATGTTCGTTTGACTCTATAGCACAGTGAGATATAAATCTGAAATTGAATTCAGCTAGTGGGTTCGAAACCTGAAAACTGTTTCAATTTTTTTCTTAAGTTTTTATTTTACTGTTTACTGCCGAGACTTGTATATGATAACGCATGTGAACTTAAAGATATTGTATTTTTGTCTCTCCTTTTTAAAAAAAAAAATAGTTCATACATTTATAATAAGAAATGAATAAAAAAAGAAAACGAAAATGAGATAGGGGGAAAATGAGATGAGGATATTTTGATTAAGTACAATAATAAAAAGTTGATTAAATAAAAAAACGCATTATGATAATGTAGTTTCTTATATGAATAATACCGGAGGAGAAAACCCAACATAAAACATTTTTGAAGCTCGTTAGCCGTCTGTCCTTTAGAGCTAGTGCTCTACCGATTGTGCTATTGCGACATTTAATCATCATTTTACAATTATCAGTCAAAAGTTCAAACAACCAGGGCATGCAACATTTCATTTACCTATACAAGTATTGTTTTAAAATGGACTGTTCCGTACTATAAATAAATATGAAGACATTTCTGTTTATCGTGCTCGGATTATAATATAGTAGATTATATCATAACAAAGAAGCTCTTTGAACATACACAGTGTATAATGATAATATGACATAATCAATCAAATATGGTATACAGACCACAATTCAATTAACCATAGTATAACAACTTTGATAAAAAGTAGTACAAATTCTTAGGTGAACTGATTAGAGTTTTTCGTCAAATGGCTCTTCTGGCAGGCAATATATTATACTTCTATACAATCTAATCTACTACAAAGACATTTATAAACTCATAGTGAAAAGTTAAATGAAACATTGTTATACTCAAACATTCATGACAAACAACAAATTTTGCTCTAAAAAGATAGTTGTAAATTATGATCAATAAAATATTCGTATAATAGACTCGGAAAATACATGATTACATAAGATTTATTTCAGAGGTCTAATGGCGACTTTCCAGCTTTACTGGCGGAGGAAGATCTCAGGCACAAAGAGCCAACTGGGAAGAATAACCGACATTCCGTAAGTAAGCTGGTTAGCTGCCTCACATGAAAGAATCCAAAGTTTCTGGCGGGATTCGAACCCACAGCGGTAAAGGGCAAGTAGTTTGAAGTCAAAGACCTTAACTACTCGGCCACAGACGCCTCGCACATAAAAGGCAAATACTTTCTAACCAATGATATTTTGATTATCTTAAATTTATTGTTTTTTTTTCCAATTCACATAACTTCATTTCTTAAAACTTTATATAAATAAGAAAGACAGAACATTCTATGTATACAAAAGTATAAAATTTCAATAGTAAAATGATATTTAATTCAAATATATTACATAAAATATCACAGGTTAAGAACGGATGTTTGTAATATGTATTATATAAACACATTAGCATAATAAACGGTAAAAGTTTCTAAAGCAAATTTTTTTCCGTAGAAGGTGTCATTGTAGAATGATTCGAAATAGGAATATACTTATATTCACGACATGTCATGGTGAAAAGAGGCTGACAAACAGCTCGTGCATTTACCACACGTCATAATGCAACTTCGAAATTGATACGACAGGAAAATTACTAAGTATTATATATTTCGTCTCCTCAGGAGTCGTAAAACCTTCTCCATTTGTCGTGAAAGCTGATTGACTTTTCTCTCAATACGTTGTGTGGAATGGCGGAGTCTCGTTTTAACTGTGTGTATTTCTAGGCCGCTCTTTATTTGCTGTTTTTCAACTTTTACAATCTTTTCTGACATTTCCTCAACGAGAGTACTTTCTTTCTTTTTAATGGCATCCAAATCGACGTGTTTAATAACGCCAAGATAATGTTTGACTCGGTTAGTCTGCAATATTGTATACAAACAAGTTTTGACATTATTATCAGTAATGGGCTACATTATAATATCAGTTAATGGTAACTCTAATTGTCAAGTAATGCCGCTTTATAAAGAAGAAATATTAAACATACGTTTGAGCAATTTATTAAGAAAGACAATCTCTATAGTATACAATATCATATGAGGTTGCCAGTAGAATTTCTAGTACTGTTATGTATGAGAAAATGTTAACAGTGCAGCTATGTTGATGTGACAGAAGTTGCATTTTTGTGTACACAAAAGTTTACAACCTTTGTCTAAATAGGTAAAATAGGGTTTTTTAAGAATCGAATATAATACAAAATGACTTGATGGCAAAGTTAGTAAAGTCAATAGGATGACATACAACTTCAATTTTATCATGAGTTCGAGCCTCACAAGTTGTCTAACTGTGTTTCTTTTTCTTCCCCTATTATTTTCAATTTTACATTAGATACAAATGAATTTGATTACAAAGGCAGTTTTATTATAATATCTGACAATTTAGATACTCTAGTAATTGTGTAGTATGCAGCAGTCATAGTACTTTTGCAGTGCACGAGTATTTCGTGCAAACTTAACTATAAAAAATACTTTAAACAATTTATGTACATGTATGCATTCCGTATAAGGCTCCACCACAACAATAACACAGCACTTATAATCTTTACAAGAAAAAATACAAAATATTCTAACTTTATTTAGGTAATAGATGCATTGTTGTAGAATAATGCACGGTTTGAGTTCAAATGCGTAGTAATATAATTACAAAGCATTTGAACGAAAAACGTGCATTATTATACAATAATGCACGGATAATTGATATCTATTTCCATTCGAACACTAAAGAAAAAATATAATTATTATTATAAAGTTGGACTTCATGTTTTGTGGTTAAATTTGTTTTCGCCTCAGAGTTTCCAATGGAAACGTTCTTTAAACAGTGTTCCAGTGGGTTGAAAAAAAAAACTGTCGTTAAATCTACCGTGTGTAGAAACATTTTGAGAATAACGAATTTTGAAAACGTTGATAAAACTTTGTTTATTTATTTTATTTCGCTCTTTAATTTTTCAAGCGAAATACAAATTATTAAAAGTGAAATAAATGTAAAACTTGACTTTGCGACATTAAAATAGCATACTTGACTTGATTGTTTTGCACGTGATGTTTGGCGCTACATTGTGACGTCACGTAACAACACTTTAAACGTCTGTACAGCGTTAACGACTGAATTTAAGATATTGGTGTTCGGATTAATTTTCTTAGCTAGATCATTTTCTTTCATTCTAGATAATTTTCACAACAAAATTCGACACAAAATTGTTTTTTATTTATCAGATTTTCAAACAAAATGGCGCCCTCAATGTGAAAATACACAGGGAGATAATAAGAACGGCGAGTGCATTGTTGTAGAATAATGCACGCTTCGGACCTTCTTTGTTTATATAGAAACAAATCCGATAGTGTTAGAATAGTGTTAGAATGATAATTATACATAAATGTTTTTGGGAAAAAAGTGCTATCAGAACCTGGCTGTCTTACACTGATATTTAACTAGACAACGTAACATACAGCGTTCTGCTGACAGTTGGTTAATGTGTCGATATTTGAGCCGCGTCATGACAAAACCAACATAATGCGTTTGCGACGAGCATGGATCCAGACCAGCCTGCGCATCCGCGCAGTCTGATCAGAATCCATGCTACTCGCTATCAGTTTCTGTACTTGTAATAGGGTTGGTAAGCGAACAGCATGGATCCTGATCAGACTGCGCGGATGCGCAGGCTGGTCTGGATCCATGCTGGTCGCAAACGCACTATGTTGGTTTTGTTGTGACGCGGCTCATTTTAATTTATATAGCAAGTCTGCATAAACACAATATGGTTACTATTCTACACCGTTATAGTGGACTTGACCGCCGCGTCACTAAATAATTATCCTAAACGTACAGTAATTACATATCTTAACAATCTTATTGTAAACAATTTATTTCTATTACCTGAAAAGCATCATATTGTATTTTGTGTTTCCAAGTGACGTGATAATTGTTTTATTTATCTTCTTGCAAGGCGATGTACAAGTCTAAAATAAAATGTATGTTCCTATTCTAATATTAACAGAGGATATTCAAGTTGTTTTCTATAAATACAGGATTTATTTTCATTGAGTGGTATGAAAATGAATAGTTGATGTGTGGTGGTGGCCACGGAAGACATATGTTTATTTTCATGCCACTCAATGAAAATATATCCTGTATTTACAGAAAGAACTTGTAATATCTATTTTAAATACACATTTATAACAATTTGAAAAACTTCCCCTGAAAGTTTGTGTATTTGCTGAATTTTAGAAGAAAGTAGTTCTCCACTGAAAATACGGAAATAAATATACGCATGTGTAAGAAAATTATCATACTTGTATGCATGGAAGAATATGCCATTCATTTCTTTCTGCACGTGCAACGGTCCATGCACGATTTGCTCGTACTGTCTTCACACAATCGCCATGTGTTCTTGTGTAAGTTTCACTCACTTGTGCAATTAATATATTGAGCAAAGCAACAATTGTGAAAAACATGTACACCAGTAATAAAATGGTTCCAGCCGTCCTGTAAAAATAAGTGCATGTATTCAGTTACTGTTGAATCATGTCGTAATTTATGTCGTAAAAGTCAAATAGTGATGCTAGTATGTAAATAGAAATAATTTTAGTCTAGAGAACAAAAAGTACTTTCAGAAAAACTCGACAAGTTGATAATGTAGAATTGAAGTAAACGTTCCACATATGCATTACTTGAATTAAAAGTTTTTTTAATAACTTATCATTACAAAACATATCATAAGACTCAGAAAGTTGTAACGAAAATTCCAAAAAAAGTTGTCATATTACTGGCACTTTTACATGAATGACAAAGTAATGTTACTATTACGATACTAACATATATGAAAGCACCAATACAGTACCACGAATAACGATGTATGATAATTTTATACTCTTCATATACTCTTAAGAATTTGAGAAATGTCCAAGAATAATGCAATTATAGGATTACCAATTTGAATTACATGTATATACAGATACTGATACTAGCAAGTATTTTAAATTGGTGGTAGTTTTCACTCCGGATCACGGCAGTAAGCCACATTGAATTTACCAAAGCACAGTCCAGCAAGCACATCGTTCCTGGGGAGGCTGTCAAGCACTTAATCAATAGTATTTGCCTTTACAAAGTTCTCTACATGCCAGAGCAGATATACAGTGCGATTGAGATGATTTAACGATCCTAACGAAAGTGACCTGCACCGTCCCGGAATCGAACTCGGGTTGCCCGATTCACAGCCCAACATACAGGTCGACTTACTGAGCTAAACGGACGGCTCAAATATTTGAAGTAATAATGTAAATGAAATACAATATCAACCACTAAAGTTTGACACAAATAGTGATACTAGATCATCACATTTATATGAATAACGATATTGGATATTACTATGTTACTATATTCTCAATAAATACACCAGTATAATACCTGTATCCATCTGCTCCAGAGTATTCGACTATCGCGGATGCTTCTATTAAAGTTCGCAAACCTACGTACATGGTGCCTTGAAATGAGCTGAAATGTTATGGAAAAAGTGTGTTACTTTGAATACTTTATTTCAAATACCTGTTAACTGTCAAAAGTATAGTTTTGCAAAAACAGATACCTTAAAATAAAGAAGTTATAGTAGGAAAAATCTAAGTTCATGGCGAGACAAATGAAGCCTTACATTATTATCAGACATTTCTTTGCCAGAAAGTATCGAGTAAAAACACCATCACAAAACAGTAGAAAAAATGCATACCTCGTCTCTGAGTGAGCGTTCAAGTTGTCGTCTGCTTTCAGAATCAGTATGAATGTTCCAGAAAATATTAGATTTACCACCGCAAACAGAATACTGAATTGAACAAAGTCTTGAACAATAATACGCTTGATCACCTCACCATATATTCCTGTTGTACTGAAACAGAAACAAAATGACTGCAAATGTACTGAATGTTTGAAACATAACTACAAGACATTTCTAAGAGCTGTAGAAGTGCAGTAACATATTGTCTAACCAGACTTTTAAGCTTAATTGGAAAATTCTTTTAATTAGCCATTCGAAGAATAGAGCAGTAATCCTGGGTATCAGGGTAACACTGGTTTTAAGTTCAACATGCATAATCTGGCACATCATATCTCATCAACCTTTAAAGACATTTATTTGAGACCAAAATTGGAGACCATTGTCCCAGGCCCATGGGTTTTAACAAACTCTTCACACTGATTACTTCCCTTGGCAGAATGAAAATCACTACTTCACAGATAAAAGTCACATGCCGTTATGTACATCAAAATTCAAATGTAAATAAGGCCCGTTACATAGAAAATCTAACGTCATTTTTCTCTTTTTGTTTTACCTTTTTAACTTTTTGTACCTAAGTTTGTTATTGTTCTTAAAAAATAACCAAAAGTATGCAAAATAATGAAAAAGAAATTCAAAGGCTAAAAATATGTTTAACAGAATACAAATACATGTATTGTTAAAATAATGTGTGGTGACATAGATATCTGTACTGATAAGGGATCACTGTGTATTGAATTTGGATTTTAACAGAATCATGGCCCTTTTAATACTTAAAATAACTTAAAGGAATTTCAATTGAAGATCATTTTTCCAAGGCATGTAACCCAAGCATGAATTCAAAATGAAATAAAGCACTAAGGTCAACAGTCAATAATCTTTGGTCAGTTATCAAAACTCATATTTATGTCATGTATATTCTCGAATGAAATCTTCTTCCTTGTTATTACTTATATATGCTAGATTTTTGTTTTATTATTAGGCAGATGGAATAGTCAAGCACTTTGTCCTACTGACAACTCTTGTCATTTTTAAAGTGACATCGACACAGTCATATGGCGTCATTTATGGTAAATGATAAAGGAAGAGCTAAGTTACTTAGCACTTCTAAGGCATGAACGAGCTCCAGGTTAGAACATTCGGCTTAGCCGGACAGCTTCCTCAATTATCTGACTGATTGCCAGAATGTCTTGAAATTAATTTCCTTTTACCTAATGTCAAATTAAAAAAAAACAACAAAAAAAAACGGGAGAGGAATTCTTTATGAAATAATCAAGTGCTTGTCAAGACTGTTCCATTGATATGTAGTATGTAAGTACATGTACATACATAATATTTTAAATTTCTGATTATTGTCATAGCTTAAGCAGTGCAAACAAAACATTTTAGAAAAAAAAACAACAAAAAAAAAACCAATAACAAAGAAATAGTTACTTAAACACTATGGTATACTTGAATATTCTCATTCCCCATAAACAATATCCAATGGCATAAAAATACCAGTGTACTGTAACGTTGATATAGCGTAGTGGTAAAACCATCACTAGTAGTACTGCAGAAGTTAATTCCAAAATGTTGAAACCCTGCGTGAAATAGGACAGCTTGTGTCTGGAAAAAAGCAAAAAGGTGATTTTTATGGATCTATAAATTTAAATTCTACGGTTCTACGACATTTATAAATGGTTAATGATGACCTTTGTTTCCGTTCGCCAGACTGAGGAATATATAGCTAAAAGTGGAAACATTTAATCTAGTCTAGGAATAATTAAATGACGTTGAGCAATGTGTTACCGCACCACTTTTCCTTACTTAATGAACAGAATGGTGATTTTTCACTTACTGTAAAACTATTTACAAAAAAAACCCCAAAAACAGCATAATCAATAATCTTGATCTTGAATCTAACTCTTTAAAAGTTTTTGTTACTTATCATGCTACCTGACGATCTGTACAATTTCCGTGAACAAAACTGCAAGTGCAAATATGTATGCAATGACTTCAAAAAAAGCCCGGGAATGTTGAAGTCTCGTGTCGTAATTTTGAATATCAGGGGCGCTAACTCCTGTCACAGCAGAATACGTCCAGCAAAATAAGCTGAACAAGTACATGAAGAAATATCGCCTGTAATTAAACGAAAGAAATAAATAAATTCTCTTCTTTTTCTTTGAAATCCATTATGTGTGAAAGCAAACGACAGTAAATTATAAGCATTCTTAGCAATAGGGTTCTCAAGATGTATGAAATTAAAACTAAAAAGAACATTCGGTTTAATATCAGATTTTTTTTCATTGGCATCCAAGATGTAGTTGCCTCAAAAACGTTACTGAATATAATATTACATTGTTCTATTGGGGCGTCTGTGGCCGAGTGGTTAAGGTCGTTGACTTCAAACCACTTGCCTCTCACCGCCTTATGTTCGAATCCTGACTGAGACTTTGGATTCAGCTAGTTTACGGATGGTCTGTTCGTGCCTGAAAAAAATCACGGAAGGGCACCTGAGGTCTTCCTCTACCAGTAAAGCTGGAACGTCGCCATATAACCTAACGTCGGTGTGACATAAAACCCAATCAAACAAACAAACAAACAAACATTGTTTTATACATAATTTAAACCTTTAATGATGACTTACAAAAAACGGGCCTGACCCCAGGTTTTCCACTTGTGATCAACACACGTCCGTACAGCAGGGTGGTTGAGAGCGTCCTCAAAATAATAATAATAATTTTGTTATACATACAATGTTTTTCTAACATTTGCACGAAAAGTTTCTAAAATATATAACAGACTGCTTAAAAGAGAGGCAAAAATAAACCAGACTTAATCTACAATGCTTTGGACAGAATAGAAAAGGATACAATAATATAATCATCTATCTACCATTTTCATTTAGATGGGCATAATTTCACTTAATTATCTCTCAAATGTTACAGAATGTTTGCAAATTTGGATCAATTCTAATTATCAGAGCAACACATACAAGAGATCCATGTTAATTTAAAGACAGAAACACATGCCCAAGTAGTTCATTCATGCACAATTATTATAGGAGAAACGCTTACTTTTTCGCCAAAAAATGCAAGGAAATGAAAAGCTGTATGACATTTGAAATCGAAATCTTCATGAGTGGGTTCTTTTTTGTTATCATCAATATCTAGGAGTTTGATATGGACATTATATGTGCCATTTCGACGTTCCTCCAGGAAACTGTCCAACACTTGCATCAGTGTTTGCTGTAAATGAAATTCATTTCTTCTTTCTACATATTTAAAATTTGATTTAATGATAAATCATAACTTGATAAAACCTCGTGCTTAACTAGGCAGACTGATCATAATATAGTTTCAAAAATGGGAGAAAATTACATAATTTATATAAACAATCTAGAATTTATGTTGTTAAAAATGTTTCATAATCATCTGTAATAAATGTAAATTATGTGACTGACCTTGTATGAAGCACTTACAATAAAAAGCATCATATACATAAAACACAATTCAAGATGCTATTTTGATGCATTTTCTGGACGGTTCTGGACGGTCTTTTATTCTTAATTACATGTACCTACCATTGTTGCCATCACTAATACTTACATTAAGATCAATTACTAACAACTGATTTATTGTAAACATTGGTTTCACAGTGCCTTCATTAAATGTTTTAAATTGGCTCAAGTCTTCATTAAGCTCGAGTAATGTTCTCTTAAACACATTTGTTTTGCCCCGAAATTTGTTTGCTTTCGATTCATCGTCCCCAAAAAGCCGCCTGACTCTAAAACCAAAAAGCATCATATTGAAGACACGCTTTTTCTTCTTTGTAAAAGAGGTAAGAATCCACTTTTGAATTCACACATAACAATTCGTATATCAATTTCATTTGAGTTTGTTTACCCTACAGACAAACGTAATGCCTAAAATTAGAGTGTATTTATCTTTCAAGTATATATAAATGATTAGAATTTAGTTCAGTATGTTTAGTTTTATTACCAGAAGCAATAGTTAAACGTTCATTTAAACATACGTATACTATTTAAAAAATGTATAAGACAACAGGGTACCGTTTTATCAACAAAGACCGCCGTAACTGCGATCTTATCTTACGACCGAAACTTACGACCGAGCTTACGATTTCTACATGACTGTTTTATGAACATGGTGGTATGATTGTTGATAAAACGGCACCCAGGTCAACACTTTAACAATCCAGGAACGCATTAGGTAATCAAAACCTTGAATAAATATGTAGACAAATGAAATAGTAGCAAGTAGGAAAATATTAAAACTTACACAAAATTATCAATTTTACTAACAATAAGTGCAGCCATTTCATCATATCCCTTTTCAATGGCTATATGAAGCGGTATATGGAAGTTATCATCGTAACAAAGCGGGTCAAAATCATAGTCGAGCAACTTTTCTACAACGCTTAGAAAATTCCTTTCTACCGCTTTATGTAAGATAGAACGACCTAATTCATCCTTGCCTAAATTATTCAGGTTCTCTCCCATATGTATAAGTTGATGAAACGTTTTCAAAACCTGAAACAATTGTTGGAGATAGATTATTTATCAGCGGAAATCAGCATGCGTTATATACAGCATTTGGAAAAAATGCATCAAGTACAAATACATATACACAAAACAGACAATATTATGAAATGAATGAAAACTCATAAAAATCGTACTACAAGATAAGAATATGAAAAGTTTACAAGCAAACAAAAAAAATTATAATAAAAGAGTGAACTAAAATAAGTATCTTATATGGAATTATACCACATTTTATATAAATGTCTCCCATAACTCTAGGCTAAGGGCAATATCTTTACAAATACTGAACTTATCCATACGCAAATTGCAATGTGCGCAACTACACATGCTGATCAACATATCTGTAAAGTTTAATTACTCCGGGACAATTAATTTTAGGCAACACCAGAAGAAATTGCTTTACAAAGTCAAGCAAATTTTTACCAAGTCAAGCCCAAAAACTCTACAAATACTGATTTAACTCTAGGTGCTCAAGTGCACATGCTCATCAATATTTCTGTTAAGTTTAATTACTTCAGTTCAAAAACTTTTTTGACAACGTGCGACACAATTTAAAAATTGGACATTTTTACTTAGTCCACGACAATAACACTAAATTACGGAATAAATCCACAAGCAGACCCCTAGGTGCACAACAATACATGTTAACCAACATTTTTGTAGAGTTTCATGACTCTAGGTCAAACACTAGGGGCTAGGAACGACATAATTGCAATTTTTACTAATTCAAGGGCAATAAATTTACAAATACTGCATAAATCAACACATAATTAACACCACCAACATTTCTGTAAAACACATGACTCTGAGTAAATTACTTTTGAGCTATGCGCAACACAAGTTGGAAACTGAGTCAAGGGCAAAAACTCTGGTAAAACTGAACCAATCCACACGGGAAACCTAGGTGCACCATTTTAAATGCGTATCAACATTCATGTAAAAATTGTAGACCCTAGCTTAAGCAATTTAAATGCTAACATGTGACAGAACTTGAGAACGCACACACGGACCGACAAACAGAGGTAAATCTAAATGCCCCCATAGAGGGGTCATAAAAAGAAGAAACTTGAAACCATTAAACAAAGTGCTATCGAGAGTGTAATGCGTACGACTCAATATTTAACTTAATTCCTATAAAAACCGCTAAAATGTATAATTTTTCCGGTCCAAAATAGTGAAGGACAACGTGGTCATTTTTTCGGTTAAACTCCCCCGTCCTTGTTTCATTCATTTTATCAAGCGTTAGGAAGTTGTAAATGAGAAACTGTAAGCGATTTTTTTATCATCAATATCTTTTTTTTATCATTAATATGTTTCGTCTTTTTCAATTTTTACACCAATTCAATACATCTTTAGCAAAATCAAAGTTAATCACTGACTTTAAATACAATATTTTTTGCCTGAAATTAGCTTATATATTCGACATATATCTACGTATTGTGGTCATGTGTACCAACTTCATTTGAAATTCCATAATGCGTGCAGAAAGTTACTTTTCAAAATTCACCCCAGGCACACACGCAAGCACCCGCACATAAACCCACAGACAGATTTTTTTGCGTCTGATTATATTTCATTTTACATCTATCTTAACTTCGATGTATTTACTTCTAAGCATTTCCGACTAATATTAATAATGTTAAATGCTGGAAAAGGGAAATATTTACAAAATCAAAGGCACACAAAATAGGAAAGTGTTATCATATTATTCAACCTACCGTTTCTTCTGAGCTGTCTTTGAATATATCATTTATCATTTCTGTTTCATCTATCATTTCTGTTTCGTTCGCTGAGTCCATGTGCTCAGACGGCTGTCCACAAAATAAAAGAAGAAAACAAACGATCAGTTTTCAGCACCTTAATTTCACAGATGAACCAAAATGAGAATGTGACAAGAACAAATGCTGATTTCCAAGAAACATTTGTAGTTATGTGCAGAAAAAATCTTGCATTGGGACACTGCATTATATTTTTAAATTAAATCAAAACGCAGAGACTACTATGGGAAGAGCTATGTGAGAGTTCATACGAGCTGTCAAGGAAAAACAAATTTAATTGCTATCTGCATGTGTTTGAAGGCCGGGGAAACCACTTACAATCATATGGCAATACGGCTCGTTATCAGGATAAAATGTATTCAAACGTAATCACTTTTGTTTTTTATAAACATTGAATCAGATTATATTTCATTGTCAATTCTTTTTAATGCAACACTTGTCACTTTCATTAATGAATTAAATAATTAATATAATGAATTATCTCTGTTTTCAAATACATGCATATGTCCGTCTGTGATTCACTTTATTAGAACTGTTTTGAAAAGCATAACAAATTTGTAAAATTTATTTATGAAAACCAGCCCTGGAGGCTTTACTATTTAAAAGATCAAAGCAATTTTATATACAGTACAAACTCTGAAAACTGGACCGTCTAAAAGTCCGGATTCCTGAAATTCAGAGAATTTTGAAAGTCCCATATTACTTCCTTTTTAGTTCATCGATAAATAACCTCTATATACTAGAACCTCTGAATTACGAAAACCGGACAGTTTCCTAGGGCTACGTGTGCTATACATGCATGAAAAATTCCCTGAAAACCAGGCAAAAAAACAAAACAAACGGACAGCAAATTAAGTGTCCACTTTCATTGTATTTAAATATGGATTAAAAATAAATCTTCACGTGACATGTTCACGGTCACCTGCTTTATCAATGCAGGTGTGAAAAACACATGTACATAAAGTTAGTTCCCTATTCCTTATTCCTTTTTCGAATAAGGAATGAGGAATCAGTTCCTTATTCCTTTTTCGAATAAGGAATAGGGAACTAGTTCCTGATTCCTTATTCAAATCTAAATAAGGAACAGCACAATCAGTATTTATTCAAAATAAAATTTATACCTCATTCAAACCTCATTCAAATCATTGCATAAAGAATCTGTATAAATTATTTTAAAAAATCGAATAAGGAGTTACTTATTCCTTATTCAACTCCGAATAAGGAACAGAAGTAAATACGTAAAGAAAAGACACCAGTTGCAATTATTTTTGATAAATCTGCATTAGAATTGCAAGGATCAATCATAAAAATCATGAAATAAAGCATCTGCATAAAAATATTTTTGAAAAAAATGTTTAAGTCGAATAAGGAATAGGGAACCAGTTCCCTTATTCAACTCCGAATAAGGAACAGAAGAAAATACGTAAAGAAAGACACCAGTTGCAGTTATTTTTGATAAATCTGCATTAGAATTGCAAGAATTAATCATTAAAATCATGAAATAAAGCATCTACTTCATTTTTTTTTAAAAATATGTTAAAGTCGAATAAGGAATAGGGAACCAGTTCCTTATTCCTTATTCAACTCCGAATAAAGAACAGAAGAAAATATGTAAAGAAAGACAGCAGTTGCAGATATTTTTGATCAATCTGCATAAGGATGGCAAGGATCAATCATTAAAATCATGAAATAAAGCATCTACATATCTTTTCTTTGTTAAATGTTAAAGTCGAATTCAACTCCGAATAAAGAACAGAAGAAAATACGTAAAGAAAGACACCAGTTTCAGTTATTTTTGATAAATCTGCATAAGAATTCCAAGGATCAATCATTAAAATCATGAAATAAAGCATTTACATAATTTCGTTTTGAAAAAAATGTTAAAGTCGAGTAAGGAATAAGGAACCAGTTCCTTATTCCTTATTCAACTCCGAATAATGAACAGAAGGAAATACGTAAAGAAAGACAGCAGCTGCATTTATTTTTGATAAATATGCATAAGAATTGCAAGAATCAATCATTAAAATCATGAAATAAAGCATCAACATAATTTTCTTTGAAAAAAATAATGTTAAAGTCGAATAAGGAATAGGGAACCAGTTCCTTATTCCTTATTCGACTCCGAATAAGGAACAGAACGAAATACGTAAAGAAAGACAGCAGTTGCAGTTATTTTCTTTATAAATCTGCATTAGAATTGAAAGGATCAATAATTAAAATCATGAAATAAATTATCTGCTAAAAAAGTATTTTGGAAAAAAATAATGTTCAGGTTCATTCGACTCCGAATAAGGAACAGAAGTAATTACGATAAGAAAGACAGCAGTTGCAATTATTATTGATAAATCTGCATAAGAATTGCAAGGATCAATCATTAAAATCATGAAATAAAGCATCTACATATTTTTTTTAAAAAAAAAAAAATGTCAAAGTCGAATAAGGAATAGGGAACCAGTTCATAATAAACATCATGAAATAAAGCAACTGCATAAAAAGTATTTTGGAAAAAAATGTGTAGGTTCATTCGACTCCGAATAAGGAACAGAAGTTATTACGTAAAGAAAGACAGCAGTTGCTGTTATTTTTGATAAATCTGCATAAGAATTGCAATGATCAATCATTTAAATCATGAAATAAAGCATCTACATATTTTTTTTTTGAAAAAAAAAATGTTAAAGTCGAATAAGGAATAGGGAACCAGTTCCTTATTCCTTATTTATTTACCTAATTTTTTAAAAAACTAGAAATGTGTCCATAGGACACGGATGCCCCCACACGCCACTGTTCTGTCAATCTTATGACTCTAGGTCAAATATTTTTTGGACTACATGTGCCACAAGTTGAAATTTAAAAATCAACAAGGGCCATAATTCTGTTAAATTTGGTTGCAGCAAAAATTCCTTCCTTAACTACCATCTACACATTAAAGTTGTTAATCCCTGGAAGTTTAAGCAAAATCTGCCATCCGGTTTAAGAGGAGTTGCATTCACAAAATTTCTACATAGTATATAGTGAAAAAATCAACAAAGGGCCATAATTCTGTTAAATTTGGTCGCAGCAAAAATTCCTTCCTTAACTACCATCTTTACATTAAGGTTGTTCATCCCTGTAAGTTTAAGCAAAATCTGCCATCCGGTTTAAGAGGAGTTGCGTTCTCAAAATTTCTACATAGTATCTAGTGAAAAAATCAACAAAGGGCCATAATTCTGTTAAATTTAGTCGCAGCGAAAATTCCTTCCTTTACTACCATCTACACATTAAGGTTGTTCATCCCTGTAAGTTTAAGCAAAATCTGCCATCCGGTTTAAGAGGAGTTGCGTTCACAAAATTTCTACATAGTATCTAGTGAAAAAATCAACAAAGGGCCATAATTCTGTTAAATTTGGTCGCAGCAAAAATTCCTTCCTTTACTCCCATCTACACATTAAGGTTGTGCATCCCTGTAAGTTTAAGCAAAATCTGCCATCCGGTTTAAGAGGAGTTGCGTTCACAAGATTTCGGGACGTACGGACGGACGGACGGACTGACGGACTGACGGACGGACAAGTGCAACGCTATATGCTCCCACATTGTGGGGGCATAAAAATGTTAAAGTCGAATAAGGAATAATGAACCAGTTCCTTATTCCTTATTCAACTCCGAATAAGGAACAGAAGGAAATACGTAAAGAAAGACACCAGTTGCAGTTATTTTTGATAAATCTGCATAAGAATTGCAAGAATCAATCATTAAAACCATGAAATAAAGCATGCGCATGAACAATATTTTGGAAAAAAAATGTTCAGGTTCATTCGATTCCGAATAAGGAACAGAAGTTCTTATGCATATTTATCAAAAAATAACTGCAACTGGTGTCTTTCTTTACGTATTTCGTTCTGTTCCTTATTCGGAGTTGAATAAGGAATGAGGAACTGGTTCCCTATTCCTAATTCGACTTTAACATTTTTTTAAAAAGAAATTATGTAAATTCTTTATTTCATGATCTCAATTATTGATCCTTGCAATTCTTATGCAGATTTATCAAAAATAACTGCAACTGCTGTCTTTCTTTACGTAATAACTTCTGTTCCTTATTCGGAGTCGAATGAACATAAACATATTTTTTCAAAAATACTTTTATGCTGTTGCTTTATTTCATGATTTTTATGATTGATCCTTGCAATTCTAAAGCTGATTTATTAAAAAATAACTGCAACTGGTGTCTTTCTTTACGTATTTCCTTCTGTTCCTTATTCGCAGTTGAATAAGGAATAAGGAACTGGTTCCCTATTCCCTATTCTACTTTTACATTTTTTTTTTCAAAAAAAAAAAAAAAAAAAATGTAGATGCTTTATTTCATGGTTTTAATGATTGATCCTCGCAATTCTTATGCAGATTTATCAATAATAAATGCAACTGCTGTCTTTCTTATCGTAATTACTTCTGTTCCTTATTCGGAGTCTGGCGTGGGTTCGATCCCCGGGAGATGCTTTGGTAGTTTAGCGCGGAGGAAGGTAGTCTAGTACTGGTGTAACTCTCCAGGAACAATGGTTAGGTAACTACCCGCCTATATGACTGAAATACTGTTGGAAAAAGGCCTAAAATGAAACAAACAAACAAAAAACAAATTATTCGGAGTCGAATGAACCGGAACATTTATTTTTCCAAAATACTCTTTATGCAGATGCTTTATTTCATGATTTTATTATTGATCCTTTAAATTCTAATACAGATTTATAAAAAATAACTTCAACTGGTGTCTTTCTTTACGTATTTCGTTCTGTTCCTTATTCGGAGTTGAATAAGGAATAAGGAACTGGTTCCCTATTCCTTATTCGACTTTAACATTTTTAAAAAAAATAAAAATATGTAGATGCTTTATTTCATGATATTAATGATTGATTCTTGCAATTCTTATGCATATTTATCAAAAATAAATGCAACTGCTGTCTTTCTTTACGTATCTCCTTCTGTTCCTTATTTGGAGTTGAATAAGGAACTGGTTCCCTATTCCTTATTCGACTTAAACATTTTTTCAAAAAGAAATTATGTAAATGCTTTATTTCATGATTTTAATTATTGATCCTTGCAATTCTTATGCAGATTTATCAAAAATAACTGCAACTGGTGTTTTTCTTTACGTATTTCCTTCTGTTCCTTATTCGGAGTTGAATAAGGAATAAGGAACTGGTTCCCTATTCCTTATTCAACTTTAACATTTTTTTTAAAAAAATATCTAGATGCTTTATTTCATGATTTAATGATTGATCCTTGCAATTCTTATGCAGATTTTTAAAAAATAACTGCAAATGATGTCTTTCTTTATGTAATTACTTCTGTTCCTTATTCGGAGTCGAATGAACCTGAACATTTTTTTTCCAAAATATTTTAATGCAGAAGCTTTATTTCAATGCAGATTTATCAAAAAAAACTGCAACTGGTGTCTTTCTTTACGTATTTCCTTCTGTTCCTTTTTCGGAGTCGAATAAGGAATAAGGAACTGGTTCCCTATTCCTTATTCGACTATTACATTTTTTTTTCAAAAAAATAAATAAATATGTAAATGTTTAATTTCATGATTTTAATGATTGAATCTTGCAATTCTTATGCATATTTATATTTCCTTCTGTTCCTTTTTCGGAGTCGAATAAGGAATAAGGAACTGGTTCCCTATTCCTTATTCGACTATTACATTTTTTTCAAAAAAAAAATAAATATGTAAATGTTTAATTTCATGATTTTAATGATTGAATCTTGCAATTCTTATGCATATTTATCAAAAATGACTGCAACTGGTGTTTTTCTTTACGTATTTCCTTCTGTTCCTTATTCGGAGTTGAATAAGGAATAAGGAACTGGTTCCCTATTCCTTATTCGATTTAAAAAAAATAATTGATGCAGATTCTTTATGCGATGATTTGAATGAGGTATAAATCTTATTTTAAATAAATACTAATTCTGCGTTCCTTTTTTAGATTTGAATAAGGAATCAGGAACTAGTTCCCTATTCCTTATTCGAAAAAGGAATAAGGTACTGATTCCTTATTCCTTATTCGAAAAAGGAATAAGGAATAGCGAAATAACTTAATTGAAAAACACTGGTCAGTGTGTGACCAGTGTGTTATTTCTTAACGACAATTTAATTTCAGCTCTTTCATCATAATCGGGTCTTTCACTTTATAGGTCTGTTTTTTTTGTATTTTCCAAAATGTATAACAAACACTTTTATCAAGAAATGTACAAAAGAGTTGTTCTCAAAGGGGCGGGGGTAATTTTGTAAAACTATTATCCAAGAGTTAAGGTCACTTATACTTAATTACAGGGTCATAATAGAATACGAGGCGAATACGAGAATTATAAAGTAAGGGTCAACGAGGCGTATAGGTGACTAGGATAACACACATACATACTAAAATGTGTCAATAGGACACGGGTACCTCCACTCCACTGTTTTGTCAATTGTATGACTTTAGGTCAAATATTTTTTGGCTACATGTGCCACAAGCTGAAATCTAAAAATCTTTTACTAAGTGAATGGCAATAAGTCTAACAAAACTGAAAAATTCCACATGCAAAATCCTAGATGCATAGCTTCACAGTGCTGTTGATCATTATTTCTGTAAAGTTGTTTGATTCTTACTCAAGCACTCAAGAAACACAAAACACAACACAATGGAACGGTTTTTACTATGTCACGGGCAATAACTTCAAAAATACTGGATAAATTCACAAGAGAGATGGAAGGTGTGCAACAACACATGATGACCAACGTTCCTCTTAAGTTTAATGACTCTATGTTTATGTTAAATACTTTTGAGGTACGTGAGACACAAGTTTTAACTTGTAAATTTTAACTAGGTCAAGGGCGATAACTCTGACAAAACAGACTAAATCCTCGAGCAAAACAAAAGGTGCACAACGTCACATGCTGATCTACATTCCTGTAAAGTTTCCTGACCCTAGGTCAAATTCTTTTTGAGCTAGATGCGAAACAAGTTGAAAATTGCAAATGTTTACTTAGTGAAGGGCAATAACGCTACAAATACAAAGTAAATCCACATCAAGATACCCAGGTGCACAACCACAAATGCTGATCAACATTCCTTTTCTTGTTTCATGACTCTAGATTAAATACTTTTTGAGCTGTGTGCGACACAAGTTGAAAATTGCAAATTTTTACAAAGTGAAGGACAATAACTCTCACACAACAAAATAACTTCACAAACAAAACCACAGGCGCACAACTACAACATTCTTGTAAAGTTTCATTATTCTAGATCAAAAAAGTTTTGAGTTACGCACGACTCAAGTTTAAAATTGCATTTTTTTTACTTAGGGCGATGACTCTGACAAAACATACTAAAACCACAAGCCCAGTTGACAACTTCACATGCTGATCAAATTTCTGTAAAGTTTAATGTCTCTATGTCAAATACTTTTTGAGCTACGTGCGACAGAAATGAGTAAAGACGGAAGAACGGACGGACAGGGTAAATATAAATGCCCCCCCCCCCTCTAAAGTGGGGGCACAAAAGTCCAACTGATACAAAAGTGATAACAAAGTAGTTTTACAACTTAAAATTTTCATATTTCTAAATCTGGATGGTCACTTTCCTTTCCTTTATTTTATGAAAATGTAAGTATACCCAATTGATAAGTGACAACTCTTCATCCATAAGTGACATCTTATCATCTTGAACAGCGACATTATCATCATAATCAACATCATCATCATGTGGCTGCCCTGGCTCACGGAGTTCTCCAAATTTGTTAACAAATCTTCGATTAAAGCCAGATAGCTTTCCAACCCTCTTTGCCACTGATTTTGATTGCGGAGATAGCTATAAAAAGGAAAATTAGTAAATTAACACCATTGACACTTAAAATGTGTTATAAAGTCAAAGTATTCAATGATTGTTTTTTTCCCTTTAAAATCAAATACAAGTGTGACCCTAAGTACCTTATGGAATTAAGAAATACCTGATGTTTTTGCGAGGGTTCTAGTTGCAACAAAAAGGAATCTGTCATGTTTTTAACACATATACAACTCAATAAGGGGTTCATGAAAACAGTTCCAAATGTTCTTCTACCCACTAAGAATGTAACTCTGGCTATTTTAAAATTGACACTAGCAGTTCGTATTTGATTTGCATAAAAAAGAGAAAATAAGAATCCCTAAAGAAAGCCCTACACGGCATGACATGTTGCAGGCTCGGTTTAATTGAGCCTGTTCATGGACGGTACTGTAAAGTGCAAACTACCGTCCACGCCCCTAGCACCGGCTTAAGCAGAATTCAACATTCGAGATGAACTGGTACAATTTTGAATTTTGAAGCTTCTCGCACATTCATCAAGTCTTCATTTTGCTGATGTTAATATCTTTTTGATTTTGCATTTTGTTTCATAGCTTACTCTCAATTATTTCAAGTGCGGCCATTTGAACAGCAGAGCGGAACGTGCCGGTAATATGCATAACTACGGATTGTACTGATCACTTCTGTGAAATCTATTGAAATCTTACTAGCAGTTTGACCTGGAAAAGCCGGACAATATTTTTTGATAGCTCTTACGGCCATTTTGTGTAGCCAAGATGAAGATGTGGCGATATGCACAATCAAAGATGGTACTGATTACTCCTGTGAAGTTTCATTGAAACCCCCTCGCAGTTAGCCCTGCGAAAGCCGGAATTGTTTTTAATTATGACTCTGGTGGCCATTTTGTGCAGTGAAGCAGAACGTTGCCGGTCATATGAACATGTAGAGATGGAACTGATCATTCCTGTGCATTTTACATTGAAATGCCATATGCAATTTGACATGTGAAAGCCGGATATGAGTTTTCTCTTAATAGAATAGCTCTGTTGGCCATTTTGTAGAACGGAGCAAAACGTGCCGGCCATATACACAACTAGGGATAGTACTGATCGCTTATGTGAAGTTTCATTGAAATTCCACCAGCAGTTTGATCTGTCAAAATGTTTCTATGGGTGGCTCTGGCAAGCATTTTGTGCAACGGAGCGAAAGGTGCCGGCCATATAAACAACTAAGGATGGTTTTGCAAGTTGAGTGAGGGATGATTGACTTTGTATGAAAGTTATTTTAGCTGATTTGGTTCTGGGATATAGCATTTCTTAGTAACTCTGACCACTCTTTGCTTAACTCTCAAAGTTATTACACATTCTTTTTATTTAAAAGTTGACTCATTTTTTCCTTTATAGAGATTTTTGTATTTCCTACATTGATCATGATATTAGATTTCTTCTGTTACAAAACTCGTATGTATATATTTATTATTTGTGAAATTGTTCTTATTTTAATTTGAATTGCTGTGAAATATTAAGAGGATATTTTTTTTTTGTTTGAGTGAAATATGGAATATATTTTCACGAAACATTAGAAAATGCCACATATTTTACGAGCCGGGACGTCGAGTGAAAATACGAGTATGTGGCATTTTATCATGTTGAGTAAAATATATCCCATTTTTCACGAAAACGAAAAAATGACATTTTTATTTAATTTCATTATCAAAGTAAAATGGATACGAACCCCCTTGCTTGCTACGCAGCTGCAATTGTACAGCGCGCAGTAATATTATTATTACTTGTTTTGCCCGCGATATTTGGCGCTACATTATGATGTCACGTAAACAACTCTTTTAAACGTCTGTACAGCGTTAATGATTGAATTAAAGATATTTGTGTTCGGATTTATTTTCTTAGTTAGACCATTTTCTATCATTCTAGATAGTTTTCAAAGCAAAATTCAAATTTATCAGATTTTTCAAACAAAATGGCGAAACAAGTCCCTTAAAATAAATATGAGTTTTGACTCCACCCACTTTCAAATTTATATTTAATATTTATTTTTTAAAAAATATGAAATATATTTGACTGATATAGCACCATATTTCATGGGTAAAATTAAATAAACATGTATATTGAAAACCTTATTGTACGTTATCTTCAAAACCCCATTATATTATAACTTATATTTTCCATTTTCTACCTGATCATCATCATCATCATCGTCGTCGTCATCATAATCATCATCGTCATCATCATGGTCATCTGAGCTTGTCAGATTTCTTTTATGTGTTATCTTGCGTGGCTGCGCTCGCTCCGGGGGTGCTCCAAATTTGTTAGCAAATCTTCGATTAATGCGAGATAGCTTTCCAACTCTGTCAACAACTGTTTTTGATTGCGGAGATAGCTATAAAAAGTAAAATGAGTAAGTTATCTCCATTGACACATAAAATATGTTATAAAGTCAAAGTATTTAACAACTGATATTGTTTCGCCTTCAAAAAATTAAATATTAGTGGGATCCTAAGGACTTTATGAAATTTAGAAATACTTGATGTTTTAGCGAGAGTTCTTGTTGCAACAAAAAATGATCTATTATGTTTTAAAACCTTCACAAACCCAAACAATGATTCATGAAAACAGTTCCAAATGTTCAACAACGCATAGTGAATGTAACTTACACACTGTAAACAATTGACACTGGCAGTTCATATTTGATATGCATTAAATCGTTTATTCAAACAAAACTTGTCGCCGTTCATCAAGATTTCATTTCGCTAATGTTAATACCCTTTTGATTGTTGCCATTTGTTTTATAACTTCATCTCATTTACTAAAAGGGCAGTGAATAGATTGTGTTACTTTTATTTCATTTTACATTAACTGCGTATAACAAAATTTAAATCATCTTATTCTATTCCATGAAAAATATATGGTTTGACAACTTAAAGTCATTTACAAAGAAAGCAATTGAGCGTTTTAACCCATTACACGATATACATGCCTTTTAACGCTTTTTTCCAACCCCCCTTTTCGTTGTCTCAATGGTGAAAGAATGCCTTATTTAGGGCCCCAACACTTGTTTTTGTTTGAGAAATGTTGTTTAAAAAAGTGACCACTCTTTCGGCGCGCCCCCCGTATCCAAAAGGTCAATCAGTTGGTTGCCAGAAAGGTGATGTGCCCCCTTCTGTTTGGGGGGGGGGGGGTTGAAGGGGGTTGGGCAGTAGCCCCCTCATCGCCAAGAAAAATTTGGACTTTAGAGAGGCTAAAATTGACCCCAGATCGATCATAAGGTAACGTGTAACTCACGCTGAAAAGTCCTTGACTCTATCTCAATCCATTGAGAAGTTGCAGCACTTTGAAATCAATTTTGATGGAAAAAAATAATTGCAAAATAGTGATTTCTGGCAATTTTGAGATGTCCGCTCGTTGCCATGGTAACATGAAATTTAAGACTTAGCACGTTGTTGCAAAGTCAATGGTCTAGTTAACATTTGTTTGATAAGTATTGATGCAGTTTTTAAAGTTTTAAAGCAATTTGAACTTGTAACGGGAGACTGTTCAATGAAAACAGTCATTTTTCATAAAAATGCCCATGAAGTAATGGGTATAATATTAATTATTATTCAAGTTTTATAAGTTTTATGTTACACTGAAGCTTTATTTACATCATCTGATTCTTCTTCATATGATTCTTCTTCATCTGATTTGAAAGGTAAAGACTCGTGTATTCCTTCTATTTCCTGTGCCAACTCCATCTCAACATCAAATGAACTGTTTCGTCCTTTGTCAGCCCTCTTTGTAATTATTTCTGACGGCTTTGACACCTTTCAGGAAAAAGTTACGACAATGTATATGCAAGATTCAATCCAGCTTTCGAATTTTTAATATGAAAGTTTACCTAATAGACGTTTCAAGAATTTCTATTTTGGAGCGAATATCTTTAAACTCTTTCGTGTGGACTCAACTAAAGTATTACCGGTCCAATGTAAAAACAATCATAAAATTAATAATCTTTGCTTCTTTTTCATCCCATGTTAACCCCCTTTCATTTATTTTCTCTGTTCATTTTTGGACAGGGTCTCAAGCCCGTTAAGAGAGTGATTATCTCGCCGTTTTTCCGAACCTGGTTATAAATGTCATTGGATCTGGATATGTAAAGTATCTTTTACATAATTCTTAGGCTTGGTCACAAATTTAAGATATTTGATTCATTATGAAAATGATAATTATAACAAGAACAGAACGAAATTATTTTACACTTTTATCATCAAACTTAGGTAACTGATCGACACTCCTTCAACAAAATAAGTAAATAGTACTAAATACATACAAAAAACAAATTATAAGAAATAGTGCAAGAAAATAAGTGCCCTGGAATATACTTCTGTAGAAGCGGAAACGTTCTTATATATAAGAAACTTTCATCCAAACGAACTAGAAATGTTGCGAATAGCGTATAATTGGAAACCCAAAGCAATTGATTTACACATCGATATATGCAATAGAAAGATCTAACAATTATTATTAGAGCATTTAACATTGTGTTTTGAAAAGCTTGATCATATAAAACGTCACCAACTTAAAGTTTAGAATTTTCGAAACATTTTTTTAGGAGAGTGCGATTTGAAAAGAAACAGGTGCACCAAACGTCAAAGTGATTACATCTACTGTTGTTGTTATGAATAATATTTTTAAAATTCTTAAAACAACGTGAACATAAACGCTTTATTTAAATTACCATACTTGAGAAAGTTTAGAATTAATCACATTTATCATATTTACGTCTAGAAGTTATCAAAATTCAATCTTATGATATTATGTAGTGGCGGTCTCATCATATATATATATATATATATACGAAAACCTAATATTATAAAACAAGAAATGTCGAACGACACATATGCTCCCCTTTCTAGACACACTTTATTGGTAATTTTGTTATAGAAACCTGTCATACAGGGGAACATGGAAATGTTCAGTTATGGAAAAAATGACCTACTAGTTATAACCAACAAATATGTGAAATATAAAGAGCTTGACCATTGAACTAGTGACCCAATTATGACTAATAAATAATTGTGTGAGATATGAAAACTTTGTGATACACAAATTTCAAGGTTATAAGCAGAAATAATATGTACATTCAAGGCCCCTTGACCTTTAACCTAGTTGCCCCAAAATCAATAGGAGTCATCCAATAGTTATGACCAATCAATATGAGAAATATAAGACTTGTAATACATAGTTTTCAAGATAATAAGCGGAAGCATTTAAGACCCCGGTGACTTTGACTTTTGAGCTGGTGACCCCAAAATCAATAGAGGTCATTTACTAGTCATGACCATTCACTATGTGAGATATGAAGACTTTGTGATTAATAGCTTTAAAAACAATAAGCGGAAACCATACTAACATTCAGAATACCTGTGACATTGACCTTTGACTTTGTGATTCTAAAATCGATATTGGTCATCTAATAGTTATGACCAATCAATATGAGAAATATAAGACTTTGTGATAAATAGTTTTCAAGAAATTAAGCTGAAACCATTCTGACTTTTGAAGGGAGGCATATTATTTATTTAGCAGTTGTACATATTGTATCAAATCTTTCCCCGATCTATGATGCGATGAAGTTATTTATACGTACATTGAAAATGATCTAAATATTTATTATTATCTATTATAATATATATTTAGTTCAAAGTGAAGAAAATAACAAAGGGCAATAACTCCAAAATTTGGTAAGACAAAGTTACAGTTCTTTTGCACTGCGCATCTGCGTAGGCTATTCGTTGCCAAATCCAGCCTTTGAAACTTGACAATGCATACTTCGGTTCTACTAAACAGATTAGTAAAATCTAATTGTCGATCCGAAAGTTACATACTGCACTGGTATTAAGCATTTTGATTATCTTGATTTGATAAAATGTAAGCTATAAACATGCAACTTAGATAAATTGCAAACTGTATTTATAAATGTATAACTTCAAATTTGCGACACGTAGAAATGTAAACGATAGAACGTACACAATACGTTTAATTCTGTGCATCATGACGTTAAGAATGTAACTGCATCAACTTGACACACTCAGGTTTACAACACCACACTTGCTTTTTACATTCTAACGCAATTAACATTTGTAAACGATTTTGCAACTTCCATATATGGAATTATCACGGAAATAGACTCAAGGTTACAAATGTAATAGTAAATGCTTCTCCTAGGAAAGACTAGACAGAATTTGGTCTGTATTAGTAATTAGTCGTATCAAAATCAGATATGACTTGAAAATTTGAAAGTGGTAAGGTAGCAGCTTAACTGTAAATGTTACTAATTCCTATGCAAATTGGAATACCCTCAATAAAATTTATTTGTCGTTGAATATAGTCCTATCAATAGTTTTCACTTCCTTGAAAAATATTTAACCTAAGGTCGTAAGTAGCCTGGATTTTTTTTAAATTTTTTTTTTAATTTCTCTTTCTAGGAAATGTGGTATCTACAACGTTTTAAAACTTATATGCCTTTAATCCTTTAAAGTCCGCTGATGTTGATTGTATAAAGGCATAGAATGGCAATCATGCAAGTGAATTAAGTTTTGTGAATAATTAAACACCTAAAAGGTGTGGTAAACGGAAACTACGCCGCTTCTTGTCGCCGACGGTAAATACCGAAAATAAGCGGATAAATACGTTTATTAACGATGATGTAGTGGGCGGGGAAAATGGGCGGAGCTTAATTTATCTCCTTTTGAAAAACGTGTAAAGCTGGATTAGTCTGATCCGAATCATGATGGTTCGACAATGTAAAGCTAAGAATGTAACTTCTGTTTTGTCGGCGTATACACGAACAATGAGTATTCGAACACTTGGTATTGCTACTATCAGCAAAACAGTTAATATTTTGTCGTTTAACAAATGTATTTTGTTGAAATGCATGTTTACAATGTTAAATCGGCAAACTCAATCCAAGAATGCAACATTGGAGTTTACATACAAAGAAATACAATTGTATTTTGTCCGTTAACAAACTGTTCAACTCAGGTCAACAAGGCTGGATTTTTGGCAACGAATAGCCTCCATACGCATCTACTTAGTGTGATTTATATACATTGTACTTACATAATTTTAAGTTGATGATTTTTATAGTTAGTTAGTTTATACACATTTATTTTAGTTCGATTGTGTTGGAAGTTGTAAGCTTATTGAAACATATCTTGTACTTAAAAAATTAAGATTAAAATATTGGGATCCATATTTTCAAAGTCATATTAATAAGTTAACAAAGCATATATGGTTTATTTCTAAATTTTAACAGAAAAGTTAACATTATTTTGAATTATATTTTACAAATTCTACCTGCTTATCATCATTATCGTTATGGACATCTTCCTCCTCCTCATCATTTGAGCTTGTCGGATGTTTTTTATGTCTTACTTTGCGTTGCTGCGCTTTTTCCGCCAGTTTTCCTAATTTGTTAGCAAATCTTCGATTAAAGCGAGATATTTTTTTAACCCTAGCATTACGTGATCTAGATTGGTAGGATTCCTATAAAAATCAAAATTAGTAAGTTAATCAAATTAACACTTAAAATGGGTTATAAAGTCAAAGTATTCAACATATGTTTTTGTCCCCGCCCCTTTAAATTGTAAGTGTGACCCTAAGTATTTTATGAAATTAAAAAAATATCTGATGTTTTAGCGAGAAATCTTTTTGCAAGAAACACTGATTTATTATAATTTATAACCTTTACAAACCCAAAAGAGATTCATGAAAACAGTTCAAAATGTTCTAAAACGCATTGTGAATGAAACTTACACTCTTTAAATATTATAGTTGACACTTGCAGTTTATATCTGATATGCATGAAATCGTTCTTTCAAAACTAGTTGCACATTTATGAGGTTTTATTTCGCTAATGTTAATAACCTTTTGAATCACAACTTCCTCTCATTTACTTAGAGGGCAGTGAATAGGTTGTGTTATACTTTGTTGGCTTAACTATGTATAAGGTGCCAAGGTTATTAGATTAACACCAATACTCGGAAAAATGTCGATATAATATTTCAACAGTTACATAAGTGAAAACAGAAGTTCTATACCTAAAAAAATCATATTTCAAAATCTGGATGGTCACTTCTCTTTATTTCATGAATATATAAGGAAACCACATTTTAAGTGACAAACATTTAAGGTTTTCTTAACCTATCCACTTCCTGATTTATCAAAATTTATAAGACCTTTTTCAATTCATCAATTTGTTTTTCATGTATGCTTTTCTTTTTTTTTTCATTTCAAAACTATGTATACCAACTTATTAAGTTAGATGAAGTTGGAATAAGAATATCTTTTCCTTAACCGATGAAACATATTTGTTGTTATAACTGATAAAACATAGCCGTTGTTATTGTTCTACATAAATGAATCAAAAGTTAAACACAAATCAAATTTTGGTTTCAGACAAGATGAAAAACTTTTGATATGTTTTGTATTTGTGTCGAATATATGATAAAAAGTTTTATTTTGAAAAGTTTGCAGTGACATTTGAAACATTGTCAGTTATAGATCTTATATTTTAAAAGTTAAGATTTAACATATTGGGTTCGATATTTTCAAAGTTCTATTTACAATTTGAAGAAAGCATAGATGATTCAGTTATTCGCCACACTCTTAAATTTCAACAGAGAAGTAAACATTCTAAATTATATTTTACAACTTCTACCTGCTCATCATCGTCGTCATCATCGTCGTCGTCATCATCATCATCATCGTTTGAGCTTGTCAGATGACTTCCATGTGTTTTCTTGCGTGGCTGCACCCGCCCTGGGAGTTCTCCAAATTTGTTAGCAAATCTTCGGTTAAAGCGAGAAAGCTTTCCTACCCTATCAGCAACTGTTTTTGATTGCGGAGATTGCTATAAAAAGTAAAATTAGTAAGTTTACCACATTGACACATAAAATGTTTTATAAAAACAAAGTATTCAAGAAATGTTTTTGTTTCCCCTTTAAATATAAGTGTGACCCTAAGTACCTCCAGAAATTAAGAAATATCTGATGTTTTAGCGAGAGTTCTTGTTGCAACAAACAGTCATCTGTTATGTTTTATAACCTTAACAAACCCAGAAAGAGATCCATGAACACAGTTCCAAATGTTCTACAACGCATTGTGAATGCAGCTAACACTCTAAAAACAATTGACATTGGCAGTTTATATTTGATATGCATAAACTCGTTCTTTCATAATATGTCGTACATTCGTCAGGGTTTCATTTCGCTGAATGTCGCGTTTTGTTTCATAACTTCCTCCCATTCACTTAGAGAGCAGTAAATATGTTGTTTTAACTTTGTTTATAACCTAAACTTGGTTTAACAAAAACTCAAACATCTTTTCTATTCCATGAAAAATATATGGTTTGGTAACTTTAAGTCATTTACAAAGAAAGCAGACGAGTGTTAATTTTTTAAAAATGTTAATTCATATTCAAGTTTTATAAGTTCTATGTAACAATTTAGCTCTATATATATCTTTTCTTCATCATCTGATTCGACGGAATTTCGTCTTCGCGCTTTTTCCTGTGACTGACATGTCTCAACAGCAAATTGACTTTGTTGTTCTTTAAAAAGTTTTCAAGTCCTCTCCATGATTATTTCTGACGGATTAGACACTTTCCAGGAAAAAGTCATAAAAAGCTTTTAATCAAGATTTCGTTTTTTTTTATAAATATGAAATTTTACCTAATACATGTTTCAAGTATTTCTACTTTGGAGTTAAAACCGTCCTCAAGAGTTACGACATCGCCGTTTTTCCGAACCTGCTTATAGGACAAGTTTCGTTTCAAAAGCAAATTATGGTACTATGATGTTTTAGAATCGTTATCATTTTTGTCATCTTTTGAGATTATCGCATAATTACAGATCTATTATTTTGATCAGTTAATTCATCTGAGTTATAAATAAAACATTGTCAAAATATTCTGAATCAAAGTAGCTTTTACATAACTTTTGGGCCGGGTTACAAATTCAAGAAAATATATATTAAATAGGGATGGCAACGAATACCAAAATCAATACTCGAGTACTCGGTCATTTTTCCGATCGAGTACTCGGTTACTCGGATGATTTCCAATGATCCTTAAAGTTTTATCACAAAATATCAACACCGTCTGCATGCTACTTTCGTTTTCTATTTCAATTCATAGAATTCGTAACTATAAATAGGACTGCAAAATATAAACATAAGAAATGTCAATGACAGCATTTATTATATACCTACACATTTTCTCCCTAAAATACAGGATGTACTTGAAGCGCAAATACGCTCTAACGGATAGAAAATTCCGTATAATGTTAGTGACAAATACGGTACCATATATGGAAGTGTTGGACTATTTTTGACGTTGGTTCCGATCTTAGTTGTGTATAAACGTAGCATTTGGAAACGGAAATCAAAATTATAAAAGGCGTGGCCGGTTTTGCAAAAATTACGTATTCATCCGTCGGTCATAAATTTATTTCTTGACAGCTACATTTCGTTTTCTGAAATTTCTTATAGAATTGTAGTATAATGAAAATCATTTATAATTCAAACTAAAAGGTATATAATAAAAGTAAAATTATGTTGTAGTAGCTTTCTGAGCCTATGCATTTTTCTACTCGCAATGTTGGAAAATTGATATTTCGCTCGACCTTCGGTCTCGCGAGATATCCATTTTTCCACCGCTGCTCGTAGCAAAATACAAAACTACAACATATAATATTCCATATATATTTACGTTTTTATAATTAACAAATTTCGGCTACAAACTGTCTAATATTTAAAGGTGATTAAATATAATAAGAGGCCGAATGACGTAAACGACAAAGGACTGTGTTCAATCCCATACGCGTGTCAAACTGCTGATCGCCTCGTTAAATTTACGATATCATTTTCACACCTCTGCAAGGATGTTTTGATTGCATTTATCAAGTATTTATACAGATACGTGTACATTTCCGAATTTCTGAACTAATCTTTCTAAATCGCAAAAAAGTAGAAATTAAATATTTTTTTCCGAGTAATCGAATATCAATTTTGTTAACCGGTATTCGGACGTTCGATCGAGTACTCGGTTAACCGGTTACTCGTTGCCATCCCTAATATTAAACATTTCATTTATTATTAAAATGATAATATTAGAACGGAACTATATTTAATTTTCATCATCAAACTTAGGCAAATGATCGATACAGTACCTTTAAATTAATTAGTGAAATTCATATTGATGGAAAATGTTTCAATACCTATATCAAATATTTCAATTTTCCCAATGGAAATAATGCAAATGTAAATGGTAATGAATGCATATATATAATACTGTTGTTGTGATTTTTTAAATGTTAACAACATAAACATCAACTTTTTTTGTAAATTGCACACTTCAGAAAATTTAAAATCAATCACATCATATTCACGTCTAGAAGTTGTCAAAATGCAATCTTATGATATAACGTAGTGGCGGTCTAATCACATATACATTGTATATATAAAACATCCAGAAAAATAGCTGTTAAATGGCGAAGAATGACAAAGACTATCAAGTATGTTTGAAATTTGATACGTTCTTTTACATAATAAATTATATTTATTATTGGTACACATTGTACCAAAACATTCCCCAATCTATGATAGGTAAGATGAATTATTTTATACGCACAATTGAAAATGATACAAATATATTCACTAACACAGGAAAAGTTCCATTACTGCAGAAATTATTTCGTGCTCTGGCCAGAAAAGTGATTATATTTAAGTAGATAGATATATAGGGCAAACAGACTTTTATACTGGTTAACCATACTTAACCTTGACTAATGAATAATATCAGAAGAAAAATCCACAGGCGTTTTTTTTTAAAACATTTAAAAAGAAATTTCAAATCCCCAAATACGGTCTCAGACTCTTAGGGAAGCTCCTTTAAATTCACTTAATTAGATCAGTTTATCACAAAGGAGAAACTAATGTCCGCCGCCAAGAAACTCGGTTGTAATAAAAGTGTCCTTTAGAAAATATCTTATTTGATATTTTAAAGAAAGTATATTTGTAACGGTTCAAATGCACAAATGTGTAACAATATTTCTAATACAAACTTTCAAGGTCTTAACTCCTAACTGGTCTATAGAAGTAATAATACAAATATATAACAAGAGCAACCAGTTATCACATGTATCGCCTAATGATAGCCAATTGTATGTTGCAGCTTCTATGTAGAAGAAGAAACAAAAATATCTTAGGTGATCAATAAACGAGTGTTTTTTGGTATGGTTTAACATAGCATCAACACAATATATGTCACACGGCGACTATTCATCTTTACTGGTTGAGGACCTCAGGTACCCTCTCCTTATACATAATTCAAGACAAAACGGCTACTTGAGTAGAACAACCGACGTTTCGTAAGCTTACTGAATAATTGAAACACAAAATATATTGGGAATCAGCAAAGCAAGAAGATCTTTGTGAGAGAGCATACGTTTTGTCAAGTAACTCACGAGAACAGAGACGAATTCAATTCCATTTTGGTGGCATTTGGCATCTATTTGAAGGCCGACACTTGCCACTTTCATTAATGACATACATAATTAATAGACTGAATTATTTCTGTTTCTTTTTCAATATGTGTACGTCTTTGATTCACTTTATTTGAAAAGTTTTGAAAAGCATACATATTTGTAAAATTTACTTATTAAACGCTGTAGGCTTTTCTGTTAAATTTATCTACAGTGCAAACTCTATGGCTACTTTTGGGTAACATGCATGACAAAAATGCTCTGTAATCCGGACAGCAATCTAAGTGTCACATTTCTGTGTGTTTTTTTCATGTGGATGAGTTGGTGTGTCGGGGCCTACGTCTTGTGAACGTTGCCTTTACCTTGTTTGATCTTTATTGTTGTTCTTTTTTTAAAAACATAATAACATAATCCCGTCAGGTGACATGTTCAATAACTAGTTAATGGTCACCTGCTTAATCTGTGCAGGTGTGAGAAACGCTTGTCTGACCTGTCTGTTAATTTATAATTTGCAATTGAATTTTAGCTCTTTTATCATAATTGTGTCTTTCATTTTATTAGTATGATTTAAAAAAATACAAATGTATTAAAAACACTCTTTATCAAGAAATATGCAAAAGGGTTCTTCACAAATGAGGGTAATTTAGTTAAGGCACTTTCCAAGAGTGAATGTCACTTATAAAGGTAAATGTACATTGATTAAGGCATAGGCAAGATGGCTTCCACGACATCTAACATCAGTGAAAGCGTAGTGGATTATCTATGATGTCACATTTAAACTGATTTCTATGTACACGTACTATATGATTTCAATGAATTTTCCAATCATGCCCCGATGTCATTTGTCATTATTATTCAAAATCAACTCTTTTCCATATACGATAAAAAGGGGGTGTACGATTTTTATATGAATGGAAACAATCACGAAATAATGCATTTATAAATAACGTATCATATGATATATAAAACATAAAAACGATTTCATTAGAGCAAGTAAATAAAGGATAAAGTACCGACACATTAACTAGGACTGCCACGATTTTATTTTTAAATAATAAAGGCAATCAGTATTTTGAAGCAGTTACACGCAATAGTTATTTTCTGCATTATGTCTAAGATTTGAAAAGTGGTTTTGCGAGAAATGTAAAACAAAATAGATAAATATCTGGATGGTCCATTTCCTTTAATCTTCAATGATAAGTTGACAAACTGAACCGGTTTTCTCAAACCACCCACTTACTGTTTTATAAAATCTGACAATTCCTTTTTAATAAATCAATTTGTTTTTCAGGTATGCTTTTCTTTGGTCTGTTTCTTTTCATTTCAAAACTATGTTTTACCACTTCTAAAGTTATTTAAAGATAAAATTAGTAAGATAAAGACTGATATTTTACCGATGAAAATAAACTTGCTGTTATTGTTCTACAAAACCGATGCAAAAATTATACTTTAATTTTGTTTTCTAACAAGATGGGGGTAAACATGTATTGTATTTGTGTAAAAAGTTTCATAAAGCTGAATAATGTAAAGTTTCAAGTGACTTTTGAAACATTGTCAATTTTACATATACCTTTAAACTAAAAATAATATAACAGGATCGATATTTTCAAAGTCATTTCTATAGATTCAGGAGAGCATAGATGATTTATTTATTCGTTACCCTCTTTGATGTAGTTATTTATAGGCACATTGAAAATGATATAATTGTATTCACTTACACATGTAAAGTTTTTATTACTGGAGACATTAATTCGCGCATTGGCCAGAAAACTGGTCTCCAATATTTGCCACGGACTTCTTGTGATCTTGATTTAAATTGCTTCGGTAATCGTTTTCTTGACCTAGGAAACTTTACCAGTTTTCTGGTAGTTATTGTTAGTTTGCTAACAGATAAAGACATAGGCAAATTGGCTTCCAAGACATCTAACGGGGAAACCGTGGTTGATTATCTAGTTACCCTAACATTTAAACTTCCAAGATTTTAACCGATTTTTATGTGCATGATTTCAATGACTTTTCTCAACATGTACCTATGACATTCTCATTCAAAAGTAATTCGATTCGATATACAATAAAACGGAAGTCCGTGATTTCACTATTTAAATGGAAACCATCAAAAAGGGAACACATTTATAAATGTCGTATCATATGATGTAAATAACATAGGAACGGTTTAAAAAGAACAAATAAATAATAGAGACAATACAGACACAATAAACAAGACTTCCTTTTTTAATGATAAAGGCAAGTAGTATTTTGAAACTGTAGCACGGAATAGTTATTTTCGGTATAATGACTCAAATATGAAAGGGCGCTTTAGTGACTGTCAATCTAACAGAAAATGATAATTTTAGACAATTTATAACTATTATTTAGAAAAAAAATCCCGAAAGTAATAGAAATATCCTTAAAGTAAAGAAACAAGGTAACAAAATCAATTGTAACAAGCATAAAAGAATCTGACATAAAAATGTTGGTAAAAATGAATGAATGATATGAGAAAACCACGGGAGTTTTGGAAAACATTAAAAAAGAAATCTTCAAATCGAAAAGGTGAAAAAATGACCGTTGAAGAATTTGTGATGATTTAAAATTTTGATTCAAATACAATAATAAGTAAGAAAAAAATGTAATATTATCGCAGGTTGATAAAACTTCAAACTCTTTTGGAAACTCCTTCACTGAGCTAGATTCAATCAATCACGAAGGAGAAAATAATGTCCACCACCAAGAAACTCGGTTAAAGTACGGTGTCATCATTAGACAATATCTTATATTCATATTTCAAAGAGATTATATTTGTAACGGTATGTTCAATTGAACTATTGTTTACCATAAATTAATTACAAAAGACGTGAACTCCAATGCCGGGCGAGTAAGACACCTTTCCATAATACTTCGAGCTAAAATAGTTGATTTTGAATGACTTTAACAAAAACGTAACACAAATAATGAACTAAACCGTAAAAAGTTTGTATAGAAGAAAGGTCGTTTTTCGTAATTCGTTACGCATATCTTTTTTATGTATCATTTTGTCCTCGTATTTGTATATACGAGTAAATGTTTTGTATTTGCCTGTAAGTCTTATATTTCTCTTCACTCCGATAAGCCTATATTATGCCTATATTATTCCAATTCATCATCTTTTAATCATAACAAATAATTACTTATATTTCATTTCGACATAACTTGCATGCCGGGCCTCTGTTTTTAAAAACTTCCCGGAAAAGCCATCTCACGCATACGCACTTTGATACATATATTTCTAAGGTTTGCGCCAGAAATTGTTCCTCGTAGTTTATTAAATTATCAAGGCGTTTGTTTTATGTATTTATATGTAACTGTTGTTAATCATAATGTTTCATTTTCATGCATCTTTCCTTTTATCATTTATGTATTTCGGAGCTGTTTTATGCATTTTGATAAATATACTTCTTTATTCATTGATATCTATCTACCTACAATGATTTAAGTTGATACTTTTATAGTTATAGTTCTCACATTATGTCCCAGACAAAGTTCAAAGTGTTAAATGAACAAAGGGCAATAATTCAGAACTTTTGGAAAACAGAGTTATGGTTCTTTTGCACTGCACTTCTACCCAATAACATCTATCTACCAACGAAGTTTCTTGTTGATATCTCTTGTAGTTCGGAGTTATGTCTCGAACAAAGTTCAAGGTGTAAAAATGCACAAAGGGCAATAACTCCAAAATTTGGTAAGACAAAATTACAGTTCTTTTGCACTGCGCATCTACTAAGCCTGATTTATATACATTGTACTTACATAATTTTAAGTTGATGCCTTTTATAGTTAGTTAGTTTATAAACATTTATTTTAGTTCGATTGTTTTGGAAGGTGTAAGCTTATTGAAACATATCTTGTACTTAAAAATTAAGATTAAAATATTGGGATCCATATTTTCAAAGTCATATTAATAAGTTAACAAAGCATATATGGTTTATTTTTAAATTTTAACTGAAAAGTTAACATTTTCCTGAATTATATTTTACAATTTCTACCTGCTTATCATGATACACTTGCAGTTTATATCTGATATGCACGAAATCGTTCTTTCAAAACTAGTTGCACATTTATGAGGTTTTATTTCGCTAATGTTAATAACCTTTTGAATCATAACTTCCTCTCATTTACTTAGAGGGCAGTGAATAGGTTGTGTTATACTTTGTTGGCTTAACTATGTATAAGGTGCCAAGGTTATTAGATTAACACCAATACTCGAACAAATGTCGATATAATATTTCAACAGTTACATAAGTGAAAACAGAAGTTTTATAACTAAAAAAATCATATTTCAAAATCCGGATCGTCACTTCTCTTTATTTCATGAATATATAAGGAAACCACATTTTAAGTGACAGACATTAAAGGTTTTCTTAACCCACCCACTTCCTGTTTTATCAAATTTTATAAGATCTTTTTCAATTCATCAATTTGTTTTTCATGTATGCTTTTCTTTTTTTTCATTTCAAAACTATGTATAACAACTTATTAAGTTAGATGAAGTTGGAATAAGAATATCTTTTCCTTAACCGATGAAACATATTTGTTGTTACAACTGATAAAACATAGCCGTTGTTATTGTTCTACATAAATGAATCAAACGTTAAACATAAATCAAATTTTGGTTTCAGACAAGAAAAACTTTTGATATGTTTTGTATTTGTGTCGAATATATGATAAAAAGTTTTATTTTGAAAAGTTTGCAGTGACATTTGAAACATTGTCAGTTATATATCATATATTTTAAAAGTTAAGATTTAACATATTGGGTTCGATATTTTCAAAGTTCTATTTACAATTTGAAGAAAGCATAGATGATTCAGTTATTCGCCATACTCTTAAATTTCAACAGAGAAGTAAACATTCTAAATTATATTTTACAACTTCTACCTGCTCATCATCGTCGTCATCATCGTCGTCGTCATCATCATCGTCGTCGTCATCATCATCGTCATCGTTTGAGCTTGTCAGATGACTTCCATGTGTTTTCTTGCGTGGCTGCACCCGCTCCGGGAGTTCTCCAAATTTGTTAGCAAATCTTCGGTTAAAGCGAGAAAGCTTTCCTACCCTATCAGCAACTGTTTTTGATTGCGGAGATTGCTATAAAAAGTAAAATTAGTAAGTTTACCACATTGACACATAAAATGTTTTATAAAAACAAAGTATTCAAGAAATGTTTTTGTTTCCCCTTTAAATATAAGTGTGACCCTAAGTACCTCCAGAAATTAAGAAATATCTGATGTTTTAGCGAGAGTTCTTGTTGCAACAAACAGTCATCTGTTATGTTTTATAACCTTAAAGAACCCAGAAAGAGATTCATGAACACAGTTCCAAATGTTCTACAACGCATTGTGAATGCAACTCACACTCTAAAAACAATTGACATTGGCAGTTTATATTTGATATGCATAAACTCGTTCTTTCATAATTTGTCGTACATTCGTCAGGGTTTCATTTCGCTGAATGTCGCATTTTGTTTCATTACCTCCTCCCATTCACTTAGAGAGCAGTAAATATGTTGTTTTAACTTTGTTTATAACCTAAACTTGGTTTAACAAAATTCAAACATCTTTTCTATTCCATGAAAAATATATGATTTGGTAACTTTAAGTCATTTACAAAGAAAGCAGACGAGTGTTAATTTTTTAAAAATGTTAATTCATGTTCAAGTTTTATAAGTTCTATGTAACAATTTAGCTTTATTTATATCTTTTCTTCATCATCTGATTCGACGGAATTGCGTCTTCGCGCTTTTTCCTGTGACTGAAAAGTCTCAACAGCAAATTGATTCTGTTGTTCTTTAAAAAGTTTTCAAGTCCTCTCCATGATTATTTCTGACGGATTGGACACCTTCCAGGAAAAAGTCATAAAAAGTTTTTAATCAAGGTTTCGTTTTTTTTTTATAAAATTTAATATGAAATTTTACCTAATACATGTTTCAAGTATTTCTACTTTGGAGTTAAAATCGTCCTCAAGAGTTACGACATCGCCGTTTTTCCGAACTTGCTTATAGGACAAGTTTCGTTTCAAAAGCAAATTATGGTACTATGATGTTTTAGAATCGTTATCATTTTTTGTCATCTTAAGAGATTATCGCATAATTACAGATCTATTATTTTGATCAGTTAATTCATCTGAGTTAAAAATAAAACATTGTCAAAATATTCTGAATCAAAGTAGCTTTTACATAACTTTTGGGCCGGGTTACAAATTCAAGAAAATATATATTAAACATTTCATTTATTATTAAAATGATAATATTAGAACGGAACTATATTTAATTTTCATCATCAAACTTAGGCAAATGATCGATACAGTACCCTTAAATTAATAAGTGAAATTCATATTGATGGAAAATGTTTCAATACCTATATCAAATATTTCAATTTTCCCAATGGAAATAATGCAAATGTAAATGGTAATGAATGCATATATATAATACTGTTGTTGTGATTTTTTAAATGTTAACAACATAAACATCAACTTTTTTTGTAAATTGCACACTTCAGAAAATCAATCACATCATATTCACGTCTAGAAGTTGTCAAAATGCAACCTTATGATATAACGTAGTGGCGGTCTAATCACATATACATTGTATATATAAAACATCCAGAAAAATAGCTCTTAAATGGCGAAGAATGACAAAGACTGTCAAGTATGTTTGAAATTTGATACGTTCTTTTACATAATAAATTATATTTATTATTGGTACACATTGTACCAAAAAATTCCCCGATCTATGATAGGTAAGATGAATGATTTTATACGCACAATTGAAAATGATACAAATATATTCACTAACACATGAAAAGTTCCATTACTGCAGAAATTATTTCGTGCTTTGGCCAGAAAAGTGATTATATTTAAGTAGATAGATATATAGGGCAAACAGACTTTTATACTAGTTAACCATACTTAACCTTGACTAATGAATAATATCAGAAGAAAAATCCACAGGCGTTTTTTTTGAAAACATTTAAAAAGAAATTTCAAATCCCCAAATACGGTCTCAGACTCTTAGGGAAGCTCCTTTAAATTCACTTAATTAGATCAGTTTATCACAAAGGAGAAACTAATGTCCGCCGCCAAGAAACTCGGTTGTAATAAAAGTGTCCTTTAGAAAATATCTTATTTGATATTTTAAAGAAAGCATATTTGTAACGGTTCAAATGCACAAATGTGTAACAATATTTCTAATACAAACTTTCAAGGTCTTAACTCCTCTGGTCTATAGAAGTAATAATACAAATATATAACAAGAGCAACCAGTTATCACATGTATCGCCTAATGATAGCCAATTGCATGTTGCAGCTTATATGTAGCAGAAGAAACAAAAATATCTTAGGTGATCAATAAACGAGTGTTTTTTGGTATGGTTTAACATCGCATCAACACAATATATGTCACACGGCGACTATTCATCTTTACTGGTTGAAGACCTCAGGTACCCCCTCCTTATACATAATTCAAGACAAAACGGCCACTTGAGTAGAACAACCGACGTTTCGTAAGCTAACTGGATAATTGAAACACAAAATATATTGGGAATCAGCAAAGCAAGAAGATCTTTGTGAGAGAGCATACGTTTTGTCAAGTAACTCACGAGAACAGAGACGAATTCAATTCCATTTTGGTGGCATTTGGCATCTATTTGAAGGCCGACACTTGTCACTTTCATTAAAGACATACATAATTAATAGACTGAATTATTTCTGTTTCTTTTTCAATATGTGTACGTCTTTGATTCACTTTTCTTTTTAAGTTTTGAAAAGCATACATATTTGTAAAATTTACTTATTAAACGCTGTAGGCTTTTCTGTTAAATTTATCTACAGTGCAAACTCTATGGCTACTTTTGGTAAACATGCATGACAAAAATACTCTGTAATCCGGACAGCAATCTACGTGTTACATTTCTGTGTGTTTTTTTTCATGTGGATGAGTTGGTGTGTCGGGGCCTACGTCTTGTGAACGTTGCCTTTACCTTGTTTGATCTTTATTGTTGTTCTTTTTTTAAAAACATAATAACATAATCCCGTCAGGTGACATGTTCAATAACTAGTTAATGGTCACCTGCTTAATCTGTGCAGGTGTGAGAAACGCTTGTCTGACCTGTCTGTTAATTTATAATTGGCAATTAAATTTTAGCTCTTTTATCATAATTGTGTCTTTCATTTTATTAGTATGATTTAAAAAATACAAATGTATTAAAAACACTCTTTATCAAGAAATATGCAAAAGAGTTCTTCACAAATGAGGGTAATTTAGTTAAGGCACTTTCCAAGAGTGAATGTCACTAATATTCAATTACAAGGTTAAAACAGAAAATAAGCGAAGGTTGAAGATAATATATATTAAAGGTGAAGGACAATAATAAAGTAAGTGTCACAAAGGCGCCAAGGTGACTTGAATAACACCCATATTCGTACAAAATAGATAGATACAGAATCCCTAAAGAAAGCCCAACACGGCAAAAATGAAAATGTTGCAGGCTCAGTTTGATTGAGCCTGTTCATGTACGGTACTGGAAAGTGCAAGTTACCGTCCACGCCCCCTAGCACCGGCTTAAGCAGAACTCAAAATTTAACATGAAATTGTAAAATTTTGAATTTAGAAACATCTGCAGATGTGTTCATACGGCGGTTATCATGGAACCTTCAATGTGACACAATAGTGCCATTCCTTGAAAAGCGGCGTATGGTCCCCAAGTAATAGAAAGTTTTTGCCCTAAACAATGGGCGGAACTAAATAAATTTGAATTTTGAAAGGGGATCGGAAGTTATAAAGCCTGCTTATCATAGATGAGACGTCAAAAGACAAATTTTAAAAGCAGGCAACATATCCCAAGGGTGATTCAACATAATTCAAGAAGGAATTTTGGAACCACCCAACTAGAAAATGCCAAAAAGTTGAAACTTTAAATACCACAGCACAACACTGAAGTCATACTGAACGATCTTCAAGGATCGAAAATATAACATCATTGATTAAATGTACGGGGAAACTTTTTACAGCCGCCACACGGCACAAATAACACGGATGTGATCATTAAATAGATAAATACAGAATTCCTAAAGAAAGCCCAACACGGCAAAATTGAAAATGTTGCAGGCTCGGTTTGATTGAGCCTGTTCATGGTCGGTACTGGAAAGTGCAAGTTACCGTCCACGCCCACTAGCACGATAAAAGTCGATATAAAAATCCAATTGTTACCTATGTAAAACACAACTAAAAGGTTTTATATTTTCAAAGCTGGAGGGCCGGTTTTCCAAATCCACTCACTTCCAGTTTTATAAAATTCCTATTTCAATTCATCAATTTGTTTTTCATGTATTCTTTCATATTGTTCTGTTTCTTTTTATTTCAAATTTATGTTTAAACACTTCTAAAGTAAGATAAATATGAAATAAGTAAAACTGTTCTTTTACTGATGAAAACAAACTTTTATTGTTCTACATAACTGATGCAAATGTTATACTTTATGTTGTTTTCTAACAAGATGGGGGTAAAATTGTATTGTACTTGTGTCAAGATTTTGATAAAGCTTAATAATGTAAAGATTTACATTGTCAGCTATACATTTCATACGTTAAAACTAACAAGTTACATATCAGGATTGATATTTTTAAAGTCATTTATATATATATAATATATATAATATATTTTATATAGTTTCTGGAAAGCATAGATGATTTATATATTCGTTATACTCTTTGAAATTACAACAGAGAAGTAAATTTATTCTAAGCTATATTTAACAATTTCTACCTGCTCATCATCATCTGTATCAGCTGAGCTTGTCAGATTTCTTTTATGTGCTTTCTTGCGTGGCCGCTCTAGCTCCTTGAGCTCTCCACTTTTTTCAAGAATATATATTCTTCGATATAAGCGAGATAGCGCTCTTTCCCTCTCAGCAGCAGTCCAATATCGCTATTTAAGTAAAATCAGAAAGTGATCTCCTTTGACACTTAAAATGAATTATAAAGTCAAAAAATTCAATAATTGTTTTTGTCTACTCTTAATTTTTTTTAAATTTATAGTGTACGTTATGTAATTCAGACATACTTGATGTTTTTGCGAGGGTTCTTGTTGCAACAATCCGTGATCTGATATATTTTTATAACCTATACAATCCAAAAAGGGAATCATTACAACCGTTTCAAATGTTCGTGCACGAATTGCGGATGTAACTAACACACTAACAGATATCATGAATTGTATTCATTACGTTGTTATTATGTTTCTTTCATAACTTCCTCTCATTTACTTAGACGGCACTGAATTTTCACTTTATACGAGTAAACTAAACTAGCAAAAATTAAATTATCTTATTCTATTCTATTAAACATAAATGGTTTAGTAACTTTTAGTCATTTACAAAGAAAGCAGTATTTGAAAAGGTTTAATGTTAAAATGTTACTTCTTACGCAAGTTGATAAGTTTATGTTACACTGATGCTATATTTACCTCCGGTTCTTCATCATATTCTTCAAAGGATGACGAACTGTTTTTACGCGCTGTTTCCCGTGCCTGCCCTGTCTCGGCAGCAAATGGAATTTGACGTCCTTTTAAAAGTTTGCCAGCCCTTTTCATAATTATTTCTGACGGCTTTGACACCTTCCATGAAAAAATAATGTTGCACAGATTACTTAATTTTAAGCAAAATTAAATGTACTATATTTATATATAATTTTTGATTTTCTCATTCAATTTTGTATTTGTATGGACGTTATACCTCTTCCTAAATTGAAATGTATATGCAAGCTTTCACTCAAGCTTTCCATTTTAAATAGTATTAAAGGTTACTTAATAGATTTATCAAGTATTTCTACTTTGAAGCGATTATCTTTTAACGATTTCATGTTGATAAAGTAAAGTGCATTAACTTATGGTTTTACCTACCAATGTAGAAATTAACAAGATATGTTTGTAAAACATGTATGCCCCCTATCAGCAGCCAATTAGTCATGTGATAAGGTTATTATGCATGACTTCTGACCCAGTGATCAAACAATTAATAAGGGTTATCAAGTATCTACTGGTCATGACCTTGTTTGACCCCTTGACCCAAAACTCAATAGGGGTCATCTGCTTGTCACGACCAATCATCATACCAAGTTTGAAGTTCCTAGGCCTAAGCGTTTTAAGTTAATTGATCAGAAACCGTTTTTACCTACAAGGTCAATGTGACCTTGACCTTTGACCCCTTGACCCAAAAATCAATAGAGGTCATCTGCTGGTCATGACCAATCACCATGCCAAGTTTGAAGTTCCTAGGCCTAAGGGTTCTTTTATTATTGATCGGAAACCTTTCTAACATACAACGACAATGTGACCTTGACCTTTGACCCCTTGACCCCAAAATCAATAGGGGTCATTTGCTGGTCACGACCAATCATCATACAAAGTTTGAAATTCCTAGGCCTAAGCGTTTTTAGTTAATTGATCGGAAACCGTTTTTACATACAAGGTCAATGTGACCTTGACCTTTGACCCCTTGACCCCAAAATCAATAGGTCATCTGCTGGTCATGACCAATCACCATACCAAGTTTGAAGTTCCTAGGCCTTAGGGTTCTTTAGTTATTGATCGGAAAGCATTTTTACCTACAAGGTCAATGCGACCTTGCCCTTTGATCACTTGACCCCTAAATCAATAGGGGTCATCTACTGATCATGACCAATCACCATATCAAGTTTGAAGTCCCTAGGCCTAAGGGTTCTTTCGTTATTGATTGGAAACCGTTTTTACCTAAGAGGTCAATGTGACCTTGACCTTTGACCCCTTGACCCCAAAATCAATAGGGGTCATCTACTGATCATGACCAATCACCATATCAAGTTTGAAGTCCCTAGGCCTAAGGGTTCTTTCGTTATTGATCGGAAACCGTTTTTACCTAAGAGGTCAATGTGACCTTGACCTTTGACCCCTTGACCCCAAATCAATAAGGGTCATCTACTGATCATGACCAATCACCATATCAAGTATGAAGTCCCTAGGCCTAGGGGGTCCTTTCGTTATTGATCGGAAGCCGTTTTTACCCACAAGGTCAATGTGACCTTGACCTTTGACCCCTTAACCCCAAAATCAATAAGGGTCATCTGCTGGTCATGAACAATCACCATACCGAGTTTGAAGTTCCTATGCCTAAGGGTTCTTTTGTTATTGATCGGAAACCGTTTTTACCCAAGAGGTCAATGTGACCTTGACCTTTGACCCCTTGACCCCAAAATCAATAGGGGTCATCTACTGATCATGAACAATCACCATACCAAGTTTGAAGTTCCTAGGCTTTAAGGTTCTTTAGTTATTGAACGGAAACCGTTTTTGCTTACAAGGTCAATGTGACCTTGACCTTTGACCCTTTGACCCCAAAATCAATAGGGGTCATCTACTGGTCATGGCCAATCACCATACCAAGTTTGAAGTTCCTAGGCCTAAGGGTTCTTTAGATATCACTCGGAAACCATTTGGTCTACGGACCGATGGACCGACAAGTGCAAAGCAATATACCCCATTTTCTTCGAAATGGGGGCATAATAAAAATAACCCTTTCTACATCTTTTGTATCATCTTGTTCCTCCTTCCCAGTCAAATCCTCTTCCTTAATATTCTCCAGTGTCAGTTCTTTTTTTGAAAAGGTTTCTAGACCGTTATGAGAGTTACGATTTCGCCTATTTTTCCGATCCTGCTTAGCAATTTCTTTGGCTGGACGAGATTCCTTTGAAGAGAAAGTTATGGTACCTCAATGAATCTGTTAGAAATGATATAAATTTGTTTGGCTTCTATGTTTTAGAGATAAGCGCATAATTGAGTGTGTTACTAATAAAACATTGACAAAATATGGTGCAAAGTATCTTATACATTACTTTATTTAGTATTAAAATGATAAGAATGACAACAGAACGAAATTACTTTGTATTTTCATCAATTACCATAAGCAAAATAATTTTGATATTCCAACAAAAAACGTTACTTTCATATTAATGGAAAACTTTTCAAAACCTCTATCAAATATATCAATTTTCTCAAATTTTCTCTTCATACGAAAATCAAATTATTACCATGGAATATACATTTTTTGAAGCATTATTACCATTGAATATACATTTTTTGAAGCGGATACTTTCTAACATATCATACATTCATCCAAATGAACTATAAATGTTGTGAATGGCTTATACTTGGAAGCTAAAAGCAACTTAGTAACTTAATTATCTCATTAATAAAAAGAGTACTTTGAAAAGCTTGATCATATTTAACGTGCCCAGCTTAACGTTCTGAATTTTCTAAACATATTATTGGGAGGAGAGTCCGTTTTGAAAAGCAGCATGTGCACCAAACGTCAAAATGATTTTTTTTACTGTTGTTGTTATGATTTCAGATTATAAAGAAATAACAACATGAACAGCAACGCTGAAGACAATTGCATAAAGTTGCCACACTTTTGAAAATTATAAATCAATAACATAGAAGTTATCAAAATACAATCTTTTTATATAATTAGTGGATTCTCTTCATTACAATGACAATGAATGACATTGACTGGTATGGTTTATATTTGATACGTTTTTTTCACATACAAAATAAAAGTACAATGTATCTATTGCATCAGAACAATCCCCGATCTATGATAGGTATGATGTAGTTATTTATAGGCACATTGAAAACGATTATATTTATATGCACTTACACAGGTAACGTTTTCATTACTGGTGACATTAATTCGTGTATTGGCCAGAAAGTAATGATATTACAAATGATAGACATAAAGGACGAACATATATTTATACAAGCAACCCATATTTATCACGGACTTCTTGTAATTTTGATTAAAATCGCTTCGGTGATCGTTTATTTGACCTAGGGAAATTAACCTGTTTTCTGGTAGTTATGGAAGCTTGAATTGACCCCCCGAGATGCCGTGTTCGAGATAATACGCATGAGTGCATGTCGACTTATTTTAACTCGATACGATGTGTTGTGTCGTCGCTTAACGTAATAAATAAGGCGTCTTGCCATTGAAACTTTCTACGTCTTGCTGACATCAGTTCAGACATCATCACATATTTTTGTCTACATTTTCCATAAGACGATCTAATTTATATCGATTTATTTTTTTTGTCGATAAAATGTTTATATTTTCTCAACATCAATCCGTGCAACTTGACATACATTTTGTTAATATAACTGCAAAGGTGAAAGTTTTTCTATGTATTTATTCAACATGACTGTGTTAATTTTCAATACTGATCAATACGCATTCTGTCACTGACCTATGGCTGTTTTACAATTACTGGTAAGAACATATTTTATACTATCTATAGCTTGCACGTTTGTTCTTTATATTGTTTACCAATCGATTAGTGCATATTTCTATATAATTCTACGAAAAGTAAATTAACTAGGTCGAAACTTCTGATGGGTAAAATAAAAAAAAATATGAATAGTTTTGTTTCCCTTTATTATGCATAGGAAAATTTATTTTTAAATATTTATACTCTTTTTCACAATTCATATAATTTCAGGTATACATTTGGTTATTTTCATTCTTAAATCAAGATGTGGGAGCAGTATTTCCTGGATTTGAAGTAAACAAATTAAGAGATGCTCTCGTGACCCATTATTTCCGGCTAGGATATACCTGGAAAGAGATATGTGGATTCATTTGCTGTACACACAACATTATTATAACTCTTCGACAGATCCGTCGGATCGTTCAACGCTTAGGACTAAGAAGATACGGTTTGTACTCTCCTTTACCGAGGGTTATAAACGAAGTAAGGCAACTTTGCCACAGTGGTTTCTCAAATTCGGGCTACCGTACAATCTGGAGAGTATTAAAGTCATCAGGTAATGTTGCTGCAACTCAAGACACAGTGAGACAAATAGTCAAGGCGATGGACTCAGCTGGTGTCAACTTACGGTTAAGGCGTCGGTTACGCAGACGAATATATGTCAATCGAGGTCCTAACTTTATTATTCACATTGACGGATACGATAAGCTTAAACCTTTTGGGATATCAATACATGGGGCTATATGGTTACTCAAGAAAGGTGCTGTGGCTGAGAGCAGCATACACAAATAACGATCCAAAGATTATTGCAAGATATTACATTGAATACATTAAAACAATAAATCAACTGCCGATGGTTGTTCGTGCGGATTACGGCACAGAAAATTCTGTCGTTCGAGATCTTCAAATATCTTTAAGATATAATCATGGCGATTGTATGTCTGGAAGAAAAAGCTTCTTATATGGGCGATCAACTTCAAACCAGCGTATTGAAAGATTTTGGGTTTTATTGAAAGACAATTTTACAACCTTTTGGAAAAACTTTTTTAAAGATCTTCGCGATACTGGCTACTTGCATGATGGTGACCCCGTTCATATTGAATGTGTCAGGTTTTGCTTTCTTTCGTTAATCCAGCAAGATCTTGATAAAGTAGCTGAAATGTGGAATCACCACCGAATTAGAAGACAAGTTGAGATTGAAAGCCCAACAGGTTTTTCCCCCGATATGATGTACTATCAGCCACAAGTATTCAATGGTGTGAACAGTGCCTGTCCACTTCCGTGTGAACTCAATGATATAGATGTCCTTTCTCAAAGATACACTTCAATGACTCCAAGGCTTGGCTGTAGGGATATATTTGTACACCTCCTAGAAGAAGTAACTGGTCAGGACAGAGATCAACTTCAACAGCCAAGCACACTTGAAATCGCTACTGTTCTGTTTAAGGAACTAACGGAATACCTTGACAATTTGTAAAAAAATGTTGTTTAATAATGTCATTATTGAAATGCATTTAAAAAGCCATTTTTATGTTTCTAAGTTACATAATGCAATAACAGTTGAGGAATTAAATTCATACTTTTACTAATCAATCTTTCTTTCTTTATTTTTTGTGAAAAAAAAAACAACTATACTTTCGAAATAAAATTTGCGATTTCCGTGTTATATGTATTGTTTTGTTCAATTTTCTATCATATAGATAAACTGGTATTAATCTTACCAACTTGTAATTAATTCATTCAGGTGGTCTTGAATTTCCTAATATCTGCTACCACAAAAGACAATACTGTTTCCCTGAATTGAGAGTTCAATATTCAATTCATGAAGTTGAAATCGTGAATTAGTGAATCTTTTTAAATCATGAAGTTCAAGTGAATGTTTAATCGTGAATTTATGAAGTTGAAATCGTAAAATCGTGAACTTCAGATGTTAAAAAACATGAATTCACGATGTTAAAACTTTGAATTCACGAATATGACATTGGGATCATGAACTTGAAAAATCCCCCCCGGACTTTCCGTACAGTGCCAATCTCTTTCATATTATTCTTAAAGTTGTCACTGAGATTCATTTACATGTTACAAGTAATTAATAAGTATGGTTCTAAACCAAAATCCGAGTCTTAGTAGAGGAACCGGATTTACGTTTTATTACATATTGATTTTATATTAAAATACTGCATTTCTGTCTCCATGAACATTGCTACTATTTCCGCCAACCGCCAAAGAATGAGCTGCGCTTGTGCAAAGAGGGTGCCGTTTCATAATAATACCGATAGGATTACGAATACTGAATATAAGATGATCGGTTTTGTCTTTTAAAATGATTTAGAGATGACTTACTACAAGACTATCAGGTAGAATTAGGTTATCAATATATTAAACGTATTAACTCAGCCATGATTTTAAAGAAGCAGGGCTACAGATACATGTTTTTTGTCATGAAAAATTTGAAAATGTATTTAAAAAGTAAACATTGTGAAACGAACAAGTATTTTAATTTGCACATTGCAAACAGAGCTTACAATCCCGTCCAATACAAAAAAGGGTGTAAAATATACAAAAATAGCCCTTCCTCCATTGCTAACGCAGTAGAAATAAAGTGAAAAGTACACATGACACAACGTCTCATTATTGTGAACATTTGTGCCAAGTATTAACAAAATCCCTTGATTTATGCACAAGTTATAGACCCGACACAAAATATACCCTATAACAGACTACTAGTATGTTTATCTTTGACCTGTAGGTGTGAGCTTGACCTTGGAGGTAGTGGTGCTCGTGTTGCGTATGACACATCATTTCATTATTGTGACTATTTGTGCCAAGCATTTTCAAAACCCATTGATCTATGAAGATGATATAGACCAGACATAAAATATACCCGCTAACAAACTATGTTTTTTTTCCTCTAAGTGTGACTTTGAAGTTGGAGTCAGGGATGCAGGTGTTGCGCATGACACATTGTCTTATTAATGTGACTATTTGTGCCAAGTATTTTCAAAATGCTTTGATCTATGAAAACGTTATGGACCGGTCACAAAATATACCCTATAACAGACTATGCTAATCTTTCACCTCCAAGTGGGACCTTGACCTTGGAGGTAAGTGACCAGTTGTTGCGCATGACACATCCTCTTATTATTATGAACAATTGTGGCAAGTATTAACAAAATCCCTTCATAGATAAGAATGCTATGGCCGGACACGACATGTACCCTCAAATAGACAATGTTGGCTTTGAATGAGCAAGTGCTACCTTTATTCTGGTTGTCGCGCATGACACATCGTTTTATTATAACAAACAGTTGTCTCAAGTTATTTCAAATTCCTTTGATAATGACAAAGTTATGGACCGGACTTGAAAGTATGACGGGCAGATATAGCCTATTTCTATTTTCCCTTTGTAGTCGAAAAGGCGGGG